TTAAGTCAGAGACATCAGGAGTAATAAAACTAACTTGCTTAGATCTTTGAAGTTGTTGTAGGGATATCTTTTTTTTTCTTGTTAAGTATTTAGCCGAGAAAAAATGATTAAATTATTTAAAAATAAAGTAGAAAAGATTATATGTTCAGATTATTTTTCACTGATCTCTGGAAGGAATGCAGTGATTTTGCCAATATCAGGCAGAAAAAACAGCTTAGAAATGGAAATGTAATATTTTAGCAGATCTGGCTGAAACTGTTAGGGAAAGTTTAAATAGGAAGAATGTATTTATTCAAATGAGTTTTTGATCAGAATGCCAGAAGGTCTCCTTGGAGTATGAAAAATCTTTCTTTTTGTAACATAGAACTTATGTCTGCACTTACAAGGATTCAAGCATATGCTGAATGTGCTCTAAGTATTTAGCGAGAAAAAATGATTAAATTATTTAAAAATAAAGTAGAAAAGATTATATGTTCAGATTATTTTTCACTGATCTCTGGAAGGAATGCAGTGATTTTGCCAATATCAGGCAGAAAAAACAGCTTAGAAATGGAAATGTAATATTTTAGCAGATCTGGCTGAAACTGTTAGGGAAAGTTTAAATAGGAAGAATGTATTTATTCAAATGAGTTTTTGATCAGAATGCCAGAAGGTCTCCTTGGAGTATGAAAAATCTTTCTTTTTGTAACATAGAACTTATGTCTGCACTTACAAGGATTCAAGCATATGCTGAATGTGCTCTATTTTGGAAGTATGGTGAGCCAGATTTGGTATGAACTGCCAATGGTCTTTTGCCAAGCAAAGAATGGGAGACCAGGGGTTTGACCTTACGGTAAGTGGATCCATCCAGCAAACTTATCAGTGGACCGGATAAGAAGTTCTTTTATATGTGGATTAGGGACCTGTCAAGCTAATTGTTTCATGGTGTGATGGCAACCAACAATTCACAAAAGCTAAATATACTCTTTTCTGAGGAATCTGAAAATGCTTTACAGTCTTAAACTAAGCCTTATTATTCCTTCACTAACAAATCTATGAATAAATTTGTGACCTCTCCTAGTGCCCTCTCAGGCTACAGGGCACGTGGCCAGTGGGCCTGTTGAAGTAATAGCAAGAAGCTAGAGCAATTCAAGCCTAGAGATGGCCAAGAAGCAAAATATTTTATTACCTATAGTGTGTTCCTCTCCCAGTACTGCAGCTCAACGGTTTCTATAGCAGGTATCAGGGTTACTTTTTTGGAGGAGACTGCAGGAACGTTGAAGGTGTACACAGCATCAGGCATCACATTGTGCACAACGTTGTGCATCCTGGAATTTGTCTTGTTTTGGGGGAAGGTAAGTGCTACCTGAGCAGTTATTCGATAGGTGAGCAGTCCTGTATGGCACTCTGTAGCTGCCTTTTGGAGACATTCTTCAGAGAATGAAGATTGCTTTCAAATCCAGCAGTTGCTCCGTCTCCTTCAGTGTGCAACTGATCTTGGAAAATGAATAAATAGAAAGCTGCTGCAATAAATACTGCTTCTGAAATCTAACTCCAGAGCTGTGTCAGGCAGGGATGGGGGAAGGGGAAAGATGAACTTTGCCTTGCTTTTTCTGAAAATTGGATTTGTGTGCTTTAGAAACAGCCAGCAATCTTAAGTAACTGGCTGATGCTCTTCACTAATGAGTGAAGTACAGCGAGCAGCTCCCTTATTGCCAAGAGTGGATGTTACTGGAAATTTGTGACAGAAGGACTGTCTAAGCCCCAAATGTTTTGCTGGGAACACGGTAGGTCTGATGAGCTGTGCCTGAATCTTGAGCAGGATTCGAGGGTATTGCTGGCGGGTGGCCGCAGGGACCAGGCTCCACAGGCTCTGGGACCCCCCTGCAGCTGCTCAGCGACATTCCTGTCAATTTTCCATGCTGCTACTCGAAATGGATCTGACAGGAATGTCTGCTACTACTCTGGTGTGTTTGCTTTTCGAGTCTTTTTTCCAGGGTCTATCCTAGGAAAAAATGTAGGTGCATGCCAACCAACCATTTCTTCTGCCCAGTAACTGGGGGTGCTGTGGGAAACACAGCCGTTTTGTAAGGGCAAAGCTGAAACACATTGCTACAATTTTTTTTTTTTTTTCCTTCTCATAACATTTCAAAAGCTGAAGGGATCAGTGTGTTCTTGTTTGCCTCTTCCTCACCCAAGAGATAATGAAGTGATCTCTACTTTCAGAAGGAGTTGTCCCATCCTTGGTCCAAGATGCTTGGATCCTGGAGCTGAAAGCAGTCTAGGTTGGCAGCAGGTCATCTGTGGTTAGCCCAGTCATTCACAGGGACCACTGGGAGTTGTGTGCCAGCAGTAGATAGAGTATCCCTGCTTTCCTTTTCATCCACGCATACTCCATGGGACTGTTGGGAGAGAGGGAGAGTCCTGTCCTGGTTGACAAGGAAAAGGTGTCGACAGAGGGGATTTGCTCTCCTGTCAGTAGTTTAAACTTTGCCTCACACTCTGCAGAGTTGCTAGGAATCATCCCAAACCCTCTGAAGTGAACACAGAGCCAAATCCTGGTGAGTGGCAGCAGTAGTTCAAGCAATCCAGCTTCCCAGTCTGTATGGGCTTCCATTTGTTGAACCTGTTTTCCATCAGCAGTCTGTGCTGATCACTCTCCCATGCTGGTCAGCTGAAGAGTACGTACAGGACCACTTTTGTTCCCTTAGGGGAGAGCGACTGTGGTGGTGGTTGATGGACTGGAGGTAGTCCAGTGCTAACCATTTCCCATTTTACATGAAAAGGGAATGTAGTATAACTCACAAAGGTGGATATTCTTTGCCAATTTTCTGATCTGCATTTGAACTAGATAATGTCTTCATATTATATAGCATAATGTCAGTCTGCTGAAGACTTAGTGGAAATCTGTTAAAGCTTGCTTACCTGAAGTTTTGTCATCTTGCAGTTGTTTAAAGTGTTTTTAATTACTGTCAGCATTGCCTGTATGCTTGGCTCAATCAGAAGTGAACTGCGCTGTCGTAGAAATTGGTCATGGGACCATCCAGTCCCTTTCCATCCCATTCTTTGTATAATTCTGTGTAGTAATACACTACACTTTTATTGGGCAAAATCATAAATGCCCCAAGTTAAAAGGTACATGCTGCTTCTATTCTATAGCTTAAAAGATCTTACTCTTGGAAAGCTATTCCATCTACGCTTTTTAATTTCAGAATTTTCTTTTCCTGCTGCAGGCAAGCAAAATCCACTGCTCTTTTGCTGCCCGCCCTTTGCACTGGAATGAATGAAGGGTTTCAATTAAATACGTGATATCTTTTAATGTGTCACTTAGCTATGCTGTGCATACTTGGCATGGTGATCTGTTCCTTTCACCTCCTAAATAATGCTGAGGGGGAACCCTGATTTCCTTTCCAAGACTCCCACTTAAAAATTGGCTGTTGTTCTGCATTGCAGGTGGATACATTATTTGCTATCAGCAATAATGCCAGGAGAGACCCATAGTCTCTCCTGGCATTATTGCTGGATCATTCTCTCACTCTGGGGTGCTAAAATTTCTTGTGACCTGGATCTTGCTATGAAAGTGAACAAAAGAAATTCAGAATTTGCAGACTTTTACTCTATAAAGACTAAATTTTGTGTTAATGCTTACTGTAATGTAATATAAGCAAAGGCTTTCAAATGCAAACATCAGAGAAAATTTGATTTCAGCTGTAGCACTAAGTAACCTAGCTATTTGTTTCTCCAGCTCTGCACATATGAGTGCTCCATAGGGAGAAAATTATTACTGAGTTCTCCCAAAATTATTTATCTCTGAGACTCTGCCTTGCAGCATACGTGTTGGGGGCGGGGGGAAATACTTTGATTCTGTTTGACAGTGTTTTGTTGATCTGATGCAGTGTAAAGAAAAGGCTTGAGGCCTCTTATTTTTGGAAGGGTAGTATCTGTATTTACACTGGTGGTGTTACTACACAAAGCTGATTCTGATCACCCCTCCCCATTATTTACTGTGGGGGAAAGAAATCAGATGCAGTCATTTTGTTAAAAAACTGAAAGCCAAGTAAGAAAATTTTAAGGCAATATAAATGCACCACTGTTCCTAAAACAGCAAGACAATGCAAGACTGTGCATTTTTACTTATGGTGCTTGGCACTGCGAAGTACTACATTTGTCCCACATTACTTCGATGTTACTGTTTTCCCTGTTGAAAGAGGACTATAATGTTAAGATGATAGTATAAGTGACAGTGTATAGCTATAACACTGTAATCAGAATGGTGATTCACCAGATTTCTTGAACAGTAATTGGTAATTGATGCTAATGAAGGCGCATGTTATCTTGGATAGTATTTCCTGTATCTGTGCTAATCTGTTCATAACCCTCTCCAAAACACATACCACTACAGCGTGGCCAACATCTCCCTTTATAATTTCCACGTTAACTAGCATAAATTTTTTCTGCACTTCTTAAATATGCATGGCCATGCATATTTTAACACTTTATATTATTAATGCGAGTATTAATGTATTTGGGTAAGAGACTTAGAATGTTAAGTTAAACTCAGCTTTCTTTTCATATTCAGTAATTTGTATTTACATATTTTAGGAAGAAAAGTTGGCCTAGAAGCGTTTTCTGATCTTGAAGCAAGAGTAGAGCAACTTCAAAAGAAAAATGCTCCTAAAAGGAAATCCATGCTTATCTATTTTTAATATCAGGTTGAACTACTTTTAGGATTTAGAGAATACAGCTTGTAAGGGTGGGGTTTTGGGGCTGAGCTAAGCTGGTTTTAGGGCTGGCTGATGTTGAGGAGGTTGCTGTCCCCTGTACCTCCCTGCTGCCAGGGGTTTCTGCTGCACCTGTTGTGTTGACTTGGGCAATTCTGTGGTCCCCAGTGAAACCATTTGGCCTGCTAAACTGGCAAAAAACAAACCCAGAAAAAATGGGATCCAGGCAGGATCGTATATCCAGGAGCAGCAAGTGGCAAAGTGATGCAGAACATACAGGAGCTGGTACCAACTCGCTACCTGTGAAATCTCGCTCAGAGCTGGTCCCTGTGTGGTTTTTCTTCTTTCTCCCCAAGTGATGCTCCTTTATTTGCTTGAAGGTGGTTCTTTTACTTTGTTGTTGCAAAGCACTTGGCTTCCTAATGGAAATACATCAAAATGATGAAATAAGATACATTATTGAATATAAGATGTAAAGGAGGTAAATAAAATGTAATTAATGGCCTTCAGTACTGCCTGTTCATAAAAATAACAGAGCATGGACAGTAAAAAAGAAATACTCATTAACTTAAACACATACTGCTTTCAAATGGCAAATGTCTGTGTCAATGGCGTAAATAGGAACTAAGAAGTAAGGTAGGTGTCTCTCCAGTTCTTTCTGTGGGTATATCTATGTAGCAAGGTGAAGATCTGAAAGCTGTTTTAAAGCACCTGTTTGTGCTTCAGTGCCATTAAGAAGGGCAACTAATAGCTAGCAGCAAGGGTTAGCAGCTCGTGCGAGAGCTATGGAAAGCCTTTGTACTCTTTTCTTCCGCTTCACAGCTGTTGTTGCTCATGTTATCTACGTCCACAGTTTGTAAAGAAACATATGCTGCAGTCATTTGCTGCAAACTCCTGTTCCATCAGGTTCAAGAAGTGCATTTACTGTGGTTTGTACTTTATAGACAGAAGCATATTTGCAGGTACCATGGCGAGGCAGCACTCCTTGTGTGTGTGACAGCTGAAACGAAATGTTTTTTGGGAGGCAGGTGAAATGCGTGGATTGGATTCCCCTCCCACCCCCGCCTCCAAATCAGTGTTATCTGGACCCTGATTTTGCACAATTTTGGAACTGCCTACTTTCTGCTTGACTAGGGATGTTAACGCTAATTAAATTATATATGGCTATTTCTGACCAGGACAAAAACATAATCTTGCCTCATTTGAAGTAATTCTTATGGATTATAATAAATACTGTTTGTTTTTTACAAGGAATGATTTCACACTTGGCAGTGCAGTTACCCTGCTGCCTCTGTATAGAATAAAAACGTATTTCCTATTTCCAATTTTTTATGCTTTTGTTTGTTCTTTCAAAAAAAAAAAAGATTAATGTGAATCACTGGTGTAATTAAACCTACCTTGCAGTGGAAGTAAAAAAAACAAAACAAAAAAAAACCCTTACAGATTTAGTGGGTTGTCAGAGGGAAACTGTTGCCTCTAAATTCTGAAAACATATTTTCATGTGGTAATAGGATTAATATTGTTAGGCTTCCCCCAAGGACAATATCTTAACTATAACTTGCCTGTAAAGTATCTCCTTATCCTAGAGTGAAAAATATTTTCAGGAACATCTTGTAACGGTGTGATTTCCAGCAGCTAAACAATGAGAACGATGGATGTGAGTTTGAGGTTCTCTTTTGGGTTTGGCCACTAACGCGCTTTCTGGCCACAGTGTCCCTCGTGACTGAAAACTTTCAAAATAACTGCAAGCCATGGATTTGGTCCTAAATTCCTCACACCACCGACTGGTAATTTTTTGTATGTCAAAGGATATTGTGTACAGGATTATTTCCCCTCTTAATGGCAGTGTGATCACTCCTATGCTAGAACATGTTCATCAGTGACTAAATAGCAAAGATTAGTGCAGTAAGGTAGTTAAAAGAAGGAAGCAACTAAATCCAGCTAATTTTACTGATTGCATTTAATGCAGATATAGTTTGGTTTTGCACTGTGAAATAAATCTATTCAGGAGGATGTCCTCCTACAAAAACTTCTGTGGAATTTTTAATAGCCACAAGTGGTCACAGCTTTGTTTATACATCTAGTCTGAAAGCTGGAAAATGTTCCTATAATTATGTTTAAAAAAAGGGAGTGTGTAGGGGGAAAGGAAGAGAGAATAGCCTGAGAATATCCGTTGAGGCAAATGTCCTGAGACAATCAGATTTGTTCTCAGAGATGAATGTGTATTATTTTAAAGGCCAGAAGAAACATGTCTACCCATTCTGTGTATGGGCGAGGATAGGTTTGTTTAGTTTTAAGCCTTACATTGTGTAAATATCTTTACACTTGCAAGATGTTTCAATTGCAGCAAAATGAAATTCCATCTAATTGTTCTTTGCTTGGAATAGAAATACTTAAGACCACCAATTTGGGGCTGACACTGAAGAAGGAAAATATTTATCTTTATGAAACCAAAAAATCAGTTGAGCAATGAGAGTCAGGGAGTTGTGTTGCTTCATAAGTGGGGTTACAGAATTAGTGTTTTATCTATTGTTAGATACTGTTAGATGTTTGCTTTCTGCTGACTGTGGATTATTTTACTGTGTCTTCTTGAGAGACTGAACTCTGAAGTCAGCTGAAGTGGTGGAGTGAGATTGCTTTACACCTTGGCCAATGACTGCCGATCGAAAGGCTAATAAGTAAAAAAAAATTTAAACACAGGAGTTTTGGTTCATATAATAACATTGGAGAGCTGGAAAGGAATTAATTTTTGCTACTGAAAAAGATGAAGGTATCGGGGGTATGGACTTGGAAAGTACGAGATTTCTGTCTCCTATTATGGGATTTGCTCCTAATTTTCACTAACCTGTGAGACTTTCTTTGCAAGTTGATTTGCAGTTCTTTATCAATCTGGAAAAAACTTTTTTTTGGTGCCTGCTTGCTCAAAAATGCTTCTTATGTCTTCATAAATGTCAGAGTTCTGGGCTAATGCTCTTGTTTGGATACTGTACTTGGGTTGTCAGTAGTGGAAAATTATTTAACAAAGTGACATCACAACTGCAGGACAATACACTGATTTCTGTGGCAAGCTACAGTTTGCTTGTTGTTTGTTTCTTTTTCTAACACATTTAGAGTAAACAAATCTGTATTAAAAGTGTGTATTCCAATAAGTGTTTGTTTACAGGAAATTCATTTAGGTACATTTAGATCAGTTACAGTAATTGAACAGACATGGGCCAAGTTGGAATATATTAAATTTTTTTCTTTTTTTTTTTCTGTTGGTAGTGGGAGCACTAGTAGTAGCAACACATATGGTGTTGTGTTTTTGTCTCTTACTACTTGGCCAAGAATATAATTTGTACTTTCAACAACTTTATTCCCCTTAAATAAAATATTAGCAGGTATATTGACTTTCTATTTGGTAGTAGCTGAAACTCTGAAGTTTTAGGAAAAGGAAACACTCTCCCTGTAAGCAAAAAGGTTTTCACACAAATTACTTACATTAGAACATTGTCTTTATTTAAAGATTTGAAGATAGCATGAAAGCATGCTGCAGCCGCAGTTTGTTCACTATACTGAAATGCTTTTGTTCTTTCTTAGTATTTAAATGTTCATGCTAACGCCTCCCATCCTGTCTACTTTGTGTTTAGATTGGTGAAAGACAAAAAACTTGGAAATGACTCAGAGAGGACAGCTAGAAAATTTGTCTTAGAGAACAAATACATAATACGTGCTCTGAGCTCTTCTGTGCGGAGGATTATGTGAACACAAGGTTAGAAAAAGCAGAACTGTTCTAGCTGCTGAAGTCAAAAAGGTGGCTTATGGAAGAGGTCTTGCCAGGGTATATCATCACTTGTCATGTATCTGCAATATTTGCTTAGGACTGCAAAGATGTTTTAATGCACTGTTGTTATTTGTTGGCCATTTTTGATCTCCCGTTTGCTTGCCATGAGTCTAACATCAGCCTTGACGCCAAACATCTCAACTGTGGTTTTCAAATTTTTTGAATAAATAAAATGAATATTTTTCTTTTCAAACTGGAAATATTCAGAGTGCTTATTCCATTTTCTAAGAACACCTGGGCACCACAGCTCTATGGGTTTGATTTCCAAAGAAAATTATTTTCAGGCTCTCACTGTGGTCCCTGCATTGCAGGTTGCGTAAGGCACCTCATGCTCAAGTTAGAAGGAATGATTGCCATTTGAGTCTATCACTGAGGAAACATTTTATCTATTTAGTAGGATGTAGGGTTTTTAATGTTTTCTAGGTGTTTTTGAATCATTAGGGATCAATGAAACACAAAGAATAATTGACGTGAAAAACACGGAGTAAATCCTTACTTGTAAGGAAAAGGTTTAACTAATGGTGGGTGCCCTTTTGTGTTAGTGTGTTTTTTGTTTTGTTTTTTTTAGCTGCAGTTGAATATCTTCCACTCTTTCTTTCCTTTCAGGTAAGGTAGGCACATTCTGCAATGTTAATGCTACAAAAGCCTTCATTGAAATACAGAAATATTGTTAAATTTTGTTTTAAGACAGAGAATCGAAACAACAGGGACAATAGACATAAAGTCACGTAGCCTCCTGGAGCAGATACCTTCAGCCTCTGAAGCTGCAGGCTGTAATGCCACATATAGGAACCCTTCTCTTAGGAACCCTTTTTTTTTTTGTGAGTTCATTTTCCCACTGGTAAGTTTTCTCATCAGCATGAACAGCAGCACTGGAGAAGGGAGGTGGTGAGGATATACAACCAATAGAAGGATGAGAATAAGGCAAACATCTTCAGTATCTTGCACACCTGCCAATTTATGGTGATGATAGGACAGTGCACTTAGGAGTCATCCTGAGAAGTCAATCATCCCTCCTCTGTGCTGGTAGTGTGAGTGGAAGTAAAATATTGACTATACCAATAGTTTCTGGAAGCTGAGCAGTACTGTAACCCCCGCTCAGTTGTATCCTGGTTCTTTTATTCTTATCAAAAGATACTGGAATCTTTTGGCTCTGACATTAATACCATTATTTAAAGATGTTGCATTAATGTGCAGTTTTCTTTAAGTGCTGTCTTCTAAGTGCTCTCCAAGTGCAGTATCTTCTTTTCCAGCAGACTTTTCTTGTCTTGCATCTGGCAGATAGATACTTGATGTTATTTTCTAATGCAAAAGGCAGTCTGACTCCATTTAGTTTATTTCCTTTTTGTCTAACAGCATCATTAATTATGCTGTGAGGGTTGTCTTTCTGCTGCAGCTGTGATCAGAGGGAAGGAAAAAACACAGCAGTCAGTCTTTGGGTGCTGTAGGAACAGGATTGGGGTGTTTGATTTCGGTTCTTTGGTGGGTTGCTTAAGCATAGAAAACTGTCACAATTCATGTTGATTCCAAACAGCAATTTCACTTGTTCTAGATATTCCAAACCTGTCCCAAGGAGCTTTCACTGCGTGGTAATGTAAGGGAGAAGAAACTGAAGTACCACTCGCTGATGTTCTGCTTTGGGAAGAGTTTGTGACAGCAGCTAATCCAGAGATTTTGTAACTCAGCTTGAAGAAAAATCAAGCACCATCTATGAATTCTAAATATTTAATGCTTAAAGTTTTATTTTCTATTTGGGTTCTGATTAGTATTTCCAGTTGCCAATGAAGGTGAGAGTTACCAAAATGTCTGCTGTGGCAAAAAGTTAAAAAATGAACTCTTACTGATACCAGTACTGCAAAATTTTAATCTAATTTCATCTACCAATTTAATACTACAAAAATGCTTTAAGGATACTTGAGCATACTTCCTAGCTAAGAGAGTGATTGATTATACACAGTTTGCCTTTTTAATAATCAACATTGGGTAACAGTCTTCATTTTTTATTGTCACTCCTCAGTTAACTAGTTGGAATATTTGTGGTATGTGTATGTACATAGTGTTGCTATAGTCATAAAATCTCTTGAGTTTTGATGGTTTAAGATGTTAGAGTATACACGTAAGACAAAGATGTGATGTAGGCACATGTATTTATAAGGTTTGATGTGAAAAGAATCTTAACGGTATTTGCATGCAAGGGATTTTTAGGAGTGGGTGGATTTCTGATAAGATGAAGGGAAAAAGCAGGTAAACATATTGAAGTCTGGTATTCGTTCAACAGAAGACTGTAATTTCCTAAACTGGAAGTAATTTAATCATGTTTGTATCTGGAGTAGTTAAATGAGATCATTTGCCATAATTACTTCATGTCTAACAAGGTCTGTTGCCATTTGGATTTTATGTTATGATTAGAATCCTAAAAAGAAAGGAGCTTAACCACTGGATGTTGAAACTAATCAATATATTTCATTACTAAGATTTGAACAGAGGCTGTGTTCCAAATGTGGCTTTAAAAATCTCCTGTCAAGCTGAAACTTTGCTTGTGATCCTGTTGCTACAGTCTGTTATGTGTGTATATGTCATAACGAAACAGCTTTGGCCATCCCAAATGACTGCATTTGTTGGTGTTACTGTTGGGACAGAACCATTTAAATATCTTAATAATTATTTTTGTTGTTCCATTTTACTGAGCCAGAAGGAAAAGCTGTTCTATAATTAAGAAGCTATTTCCAAGAAAATGGGTAGCATTAAAACTGTTGTTATAAGATCATTGCAAAGGAGGTGAATATTTGTGGTTGATGTCTAGTGTTGTACAAGTGAGTGAGAGTAATTTCTGTCCAATGAAGTTTCTTGCTAGGGAAAATGTAATTGTTCAGGAAAAGCAGAGGTTTTGTGCAAATAACCTTTCACGTTTGCTGGTTGTCAGGCAGAGACTACAGGGTAGGGGACTGCTGCTAGAGTGAGTGACAGCCATAGCTGTGTACAGAAACACGTTTGCATCTTCAGTAGCAAGTAGTTTTTATCAACAGGGTAACATATTTGTTTTAGCATAGCCAAGGAGAGACCTAAAATTGACTTAAATACTTCAGACTCACTTAAATTATGTTATACAAAAACATAAGTTTGTGATACACTGTGTTAAATAACTGATTCTGACTGTGTATTTATTTGTATATCCTACAGATGGAAAGTATTTGCTGTTAAGGATGTTAGTAGTATTGTACTTACCTGCATCTCTGCTCTATAAAGCAACCAGATGAAGGGGTACTGCTAAAATTCTGATGTTGTCTGAAATGAGTGCCAGGATACAATACACATCTTGGTAATGAGTTGTATATAGCTTTAGCTTTTCTTTGGCTTTTTTCCTTGAAAGATAGTCATGTCTTTTGAATCATAATTAATTTACATGAAGAATTTTGGTCTGTTACTGAAATAAATGGAATGATACCAGACTTGAATTTGGCAATTAAGCTGTAGAGCCAATACCACATATTATATGATAACAAGTTCCCTTTGATTGTCTAGCTTTCTTCTGAAAGATTCTGTCCGTAGTCATTATTTCAATTACCTTCCTTACGATTTTTATAAAGTAGAATTCCAATAAATTAGGTTTGGGTTTTGTCTGACCTGAAAATGATCCCAGCTAAAAAAAAATGCCCTGATGTTTCATGTAAACTTACTTTTCTTAATCAGGTTTATACAGTTTTCTGCGATGAGGTATGTTTGCAAATGCTAAAAGACTACATTTTGCTCTATTCCAGTGCCTGATGACCTCTCCATAGAAGAAAGAGAAGAGCTTTTAAATATTCGTCGCAGGAAAAAAGAACTGATTGATGATATTGAGGTAATTGATTCATCTGTAAAGATCCTTAGAAGACTGCTTCAGTAGATTAAGTTACAGTAAACTGCATCCCTAGGTATGAATTCCAGGTAATGTTTTTAAAAGCACATAAATGGCTTAAGCTAAATCTTACTAATAATGAATGGGATTTATGCATCATTTGTGTGCTTTTAAAAATGCTAACTTCTGTATTTATGTAATGCAATATATGCAATATTACATATATGTACACATTTGATTTGTGTAATCAAGAACTCATTAAACAGCAGATTTGCATACAGGATAGGAGAGAGTGAGAAATCTGGTAAAAAATCTTATACTGAAATTGGTAATGGCAATTTGGTCATGATGCTCTGACATGAGTACACGGGGAGTTCAGATCCGTGTGTTTAACAGTCATTCGGTTGTGGTACAAATCTTTTAAGCTAAATATCTAAGGAAGCCATAAGATTCATCACTTTTCTTCAGGTGACTAGCAAATATTAGAAAATAATTGATCATACTAATATATGATAGATTATTTCAAAAAGTGTTTTAATGTAGGTTAACATATTGTCCTTCCTTCTTTTGGCAGAGATTAAAATTTGAAATTGCTGAGGTTATGACAGAAATTGATAATCTTAACAGTGTAGAAGAAAGGTAAGTAATGCTAACATACGGACATGATTCAGTAAGACCTTGGAACAGGTCTTCCAGGAATAGCAAATAAAAATAGTTTTATCATGCTAAACAAACATTGGATCACCTTTACTCAGTCTGTTATAAAGTCTCTAAAGCCTGACTTTATCCTGTTTAGGTGTGTCATTCATTTGGATAGAGAATGTGTTGGATAGAGAATGTAATATTTTAGACTGTCCAATTGATAATGATACAGTTCTCTGAAGCTGCAATCACTTGAAAGAATTGAAAATAGTAACATAATTTTCCCCCTTATAAAAAGTGAATGTCTTGTTTTTGCAATAGAAAATACAAAGTAGCCAAAATACAAATTAAAAGAAGCTCATCCGGAAGTTTTTGTTTTTGTAAAAGAGCAACTGATAACTGCTTGTTGTTTCTTCTTTTTCTCCATGTGTAGCAAAACTACACAAAGAAATAAGCAAATAGCCATGGGAAGGAAGAAATTCAACATGGACCCTAAGAAGGTAGAGAATTTTTGTTTTCCACTTGTCAGGAATCAAGTTCCTGCTTGTAATGTGATCTATGACAAATACAGTCATGTTTTCTTAACAAAACATTTCTGATAATATAAGTTCACAGGCCTTATTTGTATATCCTGTAACATACTGAGCAGAGGGTTAAATTAGAAGCAGTCATCTAGTCATTTGCCAGTCATGTGTGCTTTTTTCGCTTAAGCAAACCTTTTTTGATAATGGAGGTTATTTATCAACGATCAAATATGCTAGGTATTGATTGAGCTGGCTTGCAGAAAGATTATTTGTTCCTGATAGAGGTGTTCTATGTTGATAAGTCAAATATAATTCTAAAAATATTTTGATGTTTGGTTATAAGTGAGGCTATACTTTTTTTTTTATGCCCTCCTATTTTTGTTTCTTCCAGAATACCTTTTAACATGTTTTTTAATTTGTTCTCATCTGGCTTGCAAAAGATTATTTGTTCCTGATAGAGGTGTTCTATGTTGATATGTCAAATATAATTCTAAAAATATTTTGATGTTTGGTTATAAGTGAGGCTATACTTTTTTTTTTATGCCCTCCTATTTTTGTTTCTTCCAGAATACCTTTTAACATGTTTTTTAATTTGTTCTCATATAGACTTTCATATTTGCATATCTAAATTCTGTTTGTGAAAAAGGCATGTATGAACATTTGTATACATAAAACCATATGTATGTGTACCTATATGACTTTTACAAACACTTGCTGATAGAAAGTTGGTTACCAATTTTTAGAAGTCTACCGTGTATTTAGCCAAGAAGTAAAGTAGTTCATTTCTCTGCGGTGCCTCTACTTTTCTTAAATAATTGTTAATTTTCTGGAAAATTCAGGTCCCTGCACATGCTCTTACAGACCTCCCCCGATATATTTAAAAGAGCTGCTTTGACATATTTGACCTTTTAGCCTTTACTTTTCATTTTACATCTTCCTTGCTTTGTTTTACTGCCTTCTGTTGTTTGTAATTGAGATTCCATTTTGAATTTGTGAAGAGTCTTCTTTAAGGTCTTTTTGGAAATTGTTTAGCATCTGTTTTTCTGTGTTAGTTCTTGACATGTTTTCTTTCCAGTTGTATTGAATTCTGTTAGTTTTGGTGGCTTTTCTGTAATGTTCCGAGTACAGTGATGGCTGCTGCTATTCAGACTGTTTTCAGTTTACCAGAAACACTCAAGTACTTAGAGATATAGAACCATTTTTAAGCTACTGACCATGTATTTTATTTTTATTTTCCATTTTGGTGACTGTCTAACTTCAGTTCTGTTGAGCGCAGAATACCCCCAAATATCCCGATAGTTTGCTGTCGTCTTCCAGCTCTTTCACATCCTGGAAGTTTGTGGCAAAGTCACAGGATGATGTCAGATACTTTCATTCCAATGTTAACTATTTTTTTGTTACTGTTCTTGTTGGGTGACATTATTTCTATAAATAGATGCTGTGGCCGCATTGCTACTGTAACATAATTTAAATGTGGTAAACAGACTTACAGTAGTAATTTCTTAATAATGTCTATGAACCAGTGGTGGCCGGCAGTAGCTGGCCGCTCTGAAGCTAGATCATCTTGTTTGCAGCTGCTACTTTAAATTACAGGCAGCTAAAATATATGTCCTTCTAATGTTGAGAGAATTAACTTGGGGTCATTGCGGAAAGGATGTTTTTCATTCATAAATGGGAGGGAAGATGGTCTCTGGAGTTGGAATGTGAAAGAACTGAGGTAATAATACATGCGCAGAATCCCCCAAGTTTTCTTCTTTAAAACCAAATAACAGAGTTCTAATGTTTTCATATTAGCAGGAACACAGTGAGGTAATTTTCTTCTACCATTTTTATTTGAAGAGCTTTACATTTTCTAGTGTGTAACCTATATGTAGAGCAATTCTGCCTGCCCCCACCCTGAAAATCCTCATTCAAAATAGCTGTGTTTAACGCAGTTACGTGATGTAATATCATGTATCTTGCTGTTTGGATTTGGTTAGCTAGTGTGGGAAGGGCTATAATGGTAAAGTTTGTAAAACACTTCAAGAATCCCTGTGCAGAGGACATAAAGCTGTGCTTGAAATTCGCAGCACTGGAAGTCAGTACTGCCTGTGTTGGGCCCAGAAAATGAATTCTTTCTGACAAAGGCAGGGTTTAAATAACTGCAAAATTTGTAATTACGTTACTGTAAAAGCTATGAAATTCAGAGCATATTTCATTGCACTGACTTAAAAAAAAATCTATGCAATATTTGTATTGAATATTGAACATTTCTGTAGCCATGAATTTTGTGTGGGGAGGTCAAACTAGTACAGCTGTCTTCCATCTCCTATCAGACCACAGAAAGAAAATTTGCATCCAGACAAAAGATAGCATAGGAGCTGACGGGGATTTGGCTGACCTATTTTACCATTTATTCCAGACGCTGGAGTAGTTGTGCCAGACAGATTCCTTTTCCTGTCTATTTGACTTCTGGTTCTTTAACATCTTAAGAATAAAAAAAAAACAGGGAAAAAAAATCCAGAAAAAGGAAAATTAAATTGATTTTTGTAGTATGTTAAAGTATCTGCTTCTGTGCGCAGAAATTTGTTTTCCATGCTTCTAGCCACGTCCATTATCTTATTCAGTAACTTGTACAACTTCTTAAAAACTGTTCTGGTCAGTCTATTTACACTAAGCGTGAATAATATGGTCTAGGTGTTAAACAGGGGAATCTGCAACTGCTATTTCTGATGTCCGTTAGAAGGAAGGTTCTCTGTCGGTTGACAGCTGAGAAAGCTTTTTGAATAACTTGGTATGGGAAAAAACGTGTTTCATAGTCAAATGAATTTTTTGTACAGTTATCAAATAAGCTTTGATGGGATCATTTTGAGGAAAGCTCAGCTATTTCTCCTTCAAGATAAAATGGATATATTCTTTGCAACAAAATCATGTCTGTTCTGAAATGACTTATCAAAATATTAAGTTGTCAGAGTCAGAATACCAGCCTGCCATTGAAATTAAGTTTTCAGATGATGATAAAATTGTTTTGAGAGAATTGCATTCCAGACTTTTTTTAAAAGCTTCAAGCCTTATAACATCACAGTTCATTTTCTTTGTTAAATTAGGTCACAAAATTGACTTTTTTTGTCAGGCAGGTAATAATTTCATTATAAAAAAACCAGAATCAACCAAACAGAAGGATAATTACTTTTGTTGAATGTTAATGCAGGGCCTTGTATGCTATATCAAAAAATAATGGAAGTTTTCCCAGTTGTAATGAAATAAAAAAGAAATATATTCCATTTGCAGAGATTGAAAAACTTCTAATATTTCTGAAATTATGAAATATTCTAGTAGAAAAGATTTTGAATAATTTATTAAGCTCTTCTGTACATATTTGGAATCCAAGACATTAAGGTTACTTACAGCTGCCATTCCTACTTTTTACTAGCATGCTGTTAACAATTTTATGAAATCAGCAGGAATAGCAACATCTTTGTTGGGGGGTGTGGGGAAAAAGAGTGCTCTCTCTTCATGACCTGCTGAGTGTTGGAATAACATCCCTTCCATCCTTTACGTAATCTTTATATAACTCTTAGTCTCCTTTCTTTACCGCTTTGCAGAAAGTTCTCTGGGCATCCCTAGAGTGTGCCAGTTATAGGGCCAGTAATTTATGGAGGCATAGGAGTCCAGGGGCTTGATCAAGTACCCACTGAGGGACAGGGTAAGACTCTCCTCCTGGCTTTGATAGAAGCTTCGTGGTAGAAGCTTGACTGGTTCGTGAACAGTCCTTTGTGAATAGTCTAGTTCAAGTCCTTTGTGAATAGTTTAGTTCCAGCACAACCAGAAGTCACTGAGAATCCCAGTGTCAGCATAAACTCTTTTAAACCGGTTTCAGTATCTTCAGCTGCGACTTCGACTGCAAGTAGTGGCTTGATGTATTGGGTTGCAGTTTGTAGATTGTAACAGATGCTCTGTTCTGTCGTGGTGGTAATTAAGTTGTTCCTACGTACCTCTTAATTATATGATTTTACAGATTATGTCTCTGCAGACATTTATGCAATGTTGCGAACAGGCCAAATCACACATTAACTCCAAAGAGCAACATGGAATCATTATTCAATTAATGTTTGATATTTCTGTTGTTGAGGGATTCAAACTGCCACCTAGTACTTCTAGCCTTAAAAATGTATTCTTATTTTAATCTTTAAACCAGTACTAAATATTGCTTATCTAACTGAAAAACATTTGTTTACCATTTCATTTAAAAAAAAAAAATCTGTAGGCTAATGTAATTCTTAATGTGCTATGTATATGTCTGTGTCAGTATATTAATACCAAATGTTATAAGCACTATTTACATAAATGCTTATGGAAGAAAACATAACATTCCTTTTCCTCTGGAATTGCTCTTCTTAGGGAATACAGTTTCTGATAGAAAATGACCTCCTGCAGAACACTGCAGAAGACATTGCACAGTTCCTTTATAAAGGAGAAGGATTAAATAAAACAGTAATTGGAGATTACCTCGGTGAAAGGTAAAATAAAAATACTGAAACTTTGTTCTTGAGTTTACAAAGCATACTTATGGGTTTTGGTAGTTACCCTCCCCTCCGCAGGCTGCATGAGTGAGCTACTCTACTACTCTGAGATCTAAAAAAGCTACAGTGGGCAAGTAAAACTATTTACGGTATTGTCATAGTTTTTTTTTTCCTGTTAGGTTGTTGTTCTTTTTAAATGGGTACATTGTGGAACAATATTTAATTTGTTGTAACTTACTATTTTGAGAAAATACCCTTAAATTTGGCTATAGTGCAGAATTCAATGCCATGAGCATTTGGAATGTCTGAGTTGTATTGCAACAGTTCCAATAACTCTTGATACTGTGCCCAGGCAAGGAGTGATTTACAATCGCTAATAATTTGATAGTAAAGAAATTACTTTTTAAAGTGGGTAGTTCCTGGGACAATAGTTATAAGCAGGTTTTAGTGTTGTGTTCTTCCCTGCACGCAGACTTCCCATTAGTAAGTAGCCATCTCAAACGGCAGCTGCGCAGTATCTTTATCAATCCTAGTACAATAAACATGCAGCATGCGTATTTATGCAAACTATTGCAAAACACCGTCAAAATGCAAATTACTTCCATTGCTGTGCAACCCAGGAATTGATTTCAAAAAAGGCAGCAGAAAGACAGAAGTGAAGAGTGGGTTGGAGTACGTGTATCTACGTGCTTGCACATGCTCCGGTTCAGATTCCAGTTATGGAGTTTTAAAAGTTGACTCATTTAGGATATACTGCTGTAGCAATATGTTCTGGCAGATCCCTTTTGAGGCACCCGTAATCTCTTTACAGCATCAACAGCTTAGTTTGTGCTCAGCAATTTCCTCTTGACTTTAATAGGTTTACTGAAAGTTTTTACTGTAATATGTGTATTTTGAAAATAGATCTTCGCTCTGAAGTTTCTGTGCAGTATATGTAGACATTTCAACAATTTTTATACAACAGCATTATGTTGTTTCTCTTGAATATTTGGGCAATCAGTATTATAAAATCACTTTTTATGGGTTCACAGTTAAAATTAAAAAACTTATTGCTCGTTCTCTTGCATCCCTGGCAGGGATGCTGCTGGGCAGCACTGTGGTCTAATCTGAAAATACAGGGCAACCTTTCTTAATATTGAGTATGTATACAGATAAATATGCAGTTCAATTATGTCTTCTGAATTTTTCAAGACTTAAATACAGACAAATGTAGTGGTCATACTGAATAGCAAATTTGATCAGGAAATTTTGTATAAATCTGTCAACTGGATAATAAAATCTTAGGAGTGAAAAAAAAAACCCCATACTGCTCCTATTTTGCCACAAGGCAGAAGCAACCTATCCATTTTAAGGAGCAGTTGAAGTCAAAAAGAAATTTAATTTTTTTTTTTTTTTCCTTAAAAGGAGCTTTTATTCAATGTATCCAGTCAATCTACTTTAATTGTTTTTTGCATGTTTTTTCATTTCTGTGAAGGGTGTAATATTAAGATGGTAATGGGAAAGCAAATGGTATTCTATTTTTTTTTTTTTTTTCACTTACATGAATTAGTAAGGGGGGGTGGAGGTGAAGAGATTACAATCCGATTTTCAGGAATGTGTATGGAAATTTCAAGGTAGTCAGATCTGGAATGGGGAATTGGTTCATCATACGCCTTTGAACTGCAACATTAATTTCCTAGAATCTTAATAATTTTTATTTATGTTCCTCTGAAAACAATGTATTAGGCCTTTAGGTCCTGGGGTAAAATAAATACCCTGGGATAAAATAAAATGTGACAATTGAGGTGGTCTTAAGCTGCTAGTTTTGCTTTTGTGACTACCTCAGAAACAGGCTATTAAGTGATTTGTGCCATGCAAATGGCAGTGCATATTATAGATTAGTTTTTATTGAGTTATGTACTATCTTTTATCAAGGCATTTGGAGTCTGAGGACATTCTCTTGTACTTTGCCACTCCCTCTCAGGGGCCCATCATGAATTACTTCTGCATTCTAGCTAAATATAGCTGAAGATGAGACCAGGATAATCAACAGAATGAAATATTTGTGTAACATTCTGCCATAGAGAGAGATATTTTAAATTATTGACTTTTATAGTGTTACAGCACTTGGCAAATGAAAAAAGTGAATGGTAAAATGGAACAAGATAGTATCTAAAAATGTACAATAAATAAGGGATGAATTACATCTTGTAAAAGATTTAAGATTTCTTTATATGTGGGTAAGTCTTCAATTATTTTTTTAAATGGCTTCCTAGACCTTTCATGATAATTTGGCTTGTGTCTTTGGAGTTGTACCCAGCACAAGTATCACTATTAATCCAGTCTACATTAGAACCTAGAAGAGCAAAAATTAGAGTATAAGGCTAGTATTTGTTGTGGATTACTGCAGCTTTATGTACATATAAGCAAAATCAATATGTGGCTTCGAGTAACAAAGTACTTCTATTGAGTACTCTCTTTTATTATACTATTATGCCACTTTATTTCGCTGCACTGGAAAGTAGTCACACATTGGAATTGTGCATTATTAAATTTCATGAGAATTGCTTCATTTTGCTTGACAGAGCTGATGTGTTTTTCTGTAAACAATATGGGGACATCCTGATGAATGAATAGTTCATTTTAAGGTATTTACTCATGACTGTTACAGGTTAGTCTGACTATGCAGTTAGTCAGTAATGCAATAGATAATTCTTGATGGGTGCACACCTTTCTATTTTCGGGTGGAGGCTGATATGCAACATTCTGTCTTGGTGATGTATTTAAAGCACACCCTGAGGATTATAAACCTTTACGCTTCTGGCATATGAACTCAGTGATGGTGGAGGCTAAATTCTGTCTTCATCCAAACAATTTTGTGTTCATTAATGTTTAAGTGTTATTTTTGGATTTAAACACCTTTGCATCAAACAAAGCATAATTTGGCTCATGATTTACATAGCAATATAAAAGATAGGTGAGAGGAAGCCCGTTCAAAACCTATTCTGATTTTAGTAAACTTTCATTGTAATGCTTTCTGAGAATGGAGCAAGAATATACTATGTACTAAGTAGCTCTTTTAAAAAGCTGTTCTTTTTCTTAGGTACAATCATTTGAAGCATTTCTGTTCCTCATCTTTGCACATAAATTAATATACTGCTTTAATATTTTCTGCTCTTAGAGGAAAAAATGGGATAGTTTGTGTTGTATGGCTAAAGAAATTAATCTTACATTAACCGTTGTTTTAAGAGATCATGACACAATTTCTGCAAAAGACTTTTTACTGGATAAATTTATCGGGTATCATCCCATATCAAGGCAGGTGCAGTAATAATAAATGTGAAGCAAAGAAGGCAGGCCATTTTCAGGTCATTTAAATAAGCAGTGCTAAAATCAGTTCAAGTGTACCTACCTTTCCAATGCCAGCAAAAATGGGCAAAATACTAGTGTTAGGTATTAAAATACCTCTCAAATAAATGTGTAAACTATTTCTGATGACTTGATTTGATCAGTATGATCATTTATTTCCTTGTTTATTCTCAGAAGCAAATAGAGATAACTAACAAGCCTTTAAAGTTCAGAATTGTAATTGTCTATTTCCATTTTTGTCTTTCATAGAGATGAATTTAATATTAAAGTTCTTCAGGCTTTTGTTGAACTCCATGAGTTCGCTGATCTCAATCTTGTACAAGCCTTAAGGTGAGTAAATTCTTTCTTTTTTTGACCTGAGCTTCCTTTATCAAATTGCATGTTCATATGAGTCACTGTGTTGATTTATTTGTCAGAAAGCTGATCTACAGCTCAGCACAATTATACACATTACTGTGCAAGTTAGCAGAGACAGCTCTGTTTTAACTGTTCCAATTGCTTGTGTGTGCTGCCTTTGAAGGTGAAAACTTTTAATTGTTTCAGACAAATACAAACAACTAAAACATAGCCGTAACTCTTTGGTGTAGCTGCCATATATGGACATTTGAAGATCTGTTTTATATCTTAGCACAGAGATAGGTAAAAACCAACCAAACAATTTTCTTTGCTGCCATCTTCTTTCTCCTTTCCTTCCATCTCAACTTGTTCCTCTGGGCGGGGAAAGGGGGGGAATCCCACTGACCATAATCAGTGATTGTGTTCAATTGCAAAGAGGTAAACTTTGAATCAAATAATTTCCTTCTACTTTCCTCAGAGTTTCCCACTTGTCATGTGAAACAAAGTGTAATATCTTAGCATACTTTTTTCCCTTGCTGAGTTAACCATTTACTTGATTTCTCTGGGATGCCAGCATACAGTGATCTTGTGAAGTCCCTTCTCGTCTTGGTGGAAATCCGTAATAGATCTAGCAAATTAAGTTGATTTAGACAGTTCTGCCCGTTCCGTTGCCACAAGTTACACCCTCCTGACACCAGATAAATTGAAATGTCCATGTGATCTTTGTCTCTGGTGCAGTGCCTTGTGATGTGGAGTCAGAACAGCTTTGCTATGGTTGAGTGATGTGGTGATGATAGCTTGAGCTAAGGAAGCTTTTTCTCTGGCTGCTGAAGCTTGTCTGGGAGGCTTCATATTCCTATCTCTTACCCAATTTAATGTTAGGTTTGACTTTATTCTTCCTTAGCAGCTGCTACTATTAAATGTTTGTATTTTGGTAGCTTACAAAATTCGTGATCTGGGTTGGAACCTTGCATGAGGTGAGTAAAAGACAGTATATAGAGCTGACAAACTAAAGATGGCCTGCGACACTTTAATATAATGTCCTAAAAAGAAAACTGATGAAGACAGGAATAAATGGTTATTATATTGGCACCCAGTGTACAGGGAATATCGAGAACTTGTTTTGCATGGCAGAGCATGTAACTTTGCTGGTTTAGATCCTGTTTTAGTTTAGATAATTATTTTGCTAAGAAAGAAAAGAATAAGTGATTAAATTCATTGGAGCTTTTTAGTGCCACAGTGTGCCAAAAGTAAATTTGTGAAGACTTCTGTCCTGTATGCATTCCAGTGTACCTATATGTAGAAATAGTAAGCTATGAATGTAAAAACTCTGTCAGTTCATGCTGCTAAACAGGAGCACAGATCTCCTGCGTATATTACAAAATTACTGAGGTTATATCATGAGTCTTTATTTTTAAGATCTGGGTCTGATTCTTGTAGGGTGAACTTACACTAGACAGGCAGCACCTCTCTAAGCACTGGGTTTTTTCTTGTTGCTGTTACTATTTTTTAAACGTTTGAGGAGTTCAAGTAAAGATGTTAAGGGTTTTCGTATTCCTTGCTTCTCTCCCCTACCAGAAATATTTTATGTAATGTGTCTTTTTACAGTGTAAGTAAAGTCTAACTGAGTGTTTATTGCTTTTAGTAGCCAGGAAACCCAGGGAGGATTGAACTGATTGTTTCCCCATAGCATTCTCATGGCAAAAATGGGATGCATACAGAAAATTGTTTACTAGTCTGGAAAAAAGAGAGAGTCTCAGAATATGAACTGCCATATTATCTTGCCTGATAGCATGCAGTGTTGCTGGCTGAATTACTGGGCTAGCCATCTGTGCATGTTGCTTTATAATAGCTCCTGACTTGTGTGTTGAGAGATTGAGAACGTATTTCTAGGACATTTTGTATAGACATTGCTGATTTTTTGTTTTGTTTTGTTTGTTTTTGTTTCTGATAATTAGTAATATATGCTTAATATATAAATATTGGAATGAGTCTAACAACTATTCTTCCCTTCTGTAGGCAGTTTCTGTGGAGCTTCAGACTCCCAGGAGAGGCTCAAAAAATTGATCGTATGATGGAGGCTTTTGCTTCACGCTATTGCCTTTGTAACCCAGGAGTCTTCCAGTCTACAGGTTAGTCACAGGAAAAAATAGGAGTTCTTAAGTTTTTTTTTTTTTTTTTGGATCATACATGTTCTTCTACATCTGATGCAAGGAGGTGATGGCCAGTTTGGAAGTTCAGGATAAAATAATACGTGAAATGAGAAATTTCTGAGAACTGAGAAAATGCAACTGTCTAATCCTGCACTTTGTTTCCAGGAGGTGCAAGCTTATGGTCAGAATGCATTTTCATTTATAAAACTTCAGCATTAATATATATCTAAGCCAATTAAAGTATAAAACACACTTCAGAAATGTCACCAAAGATTTTGGCTAGGAATTGGAAAAGTAAGATTCTAAGGGGCTTAAAGGCAGAAGAGACTAATAGGTTGGGTAGTCTCATCTGTCAGTTATAAGGACTTTACACCTGATTATCTCTGTATCAAGTCCACCTCTGCGTGGCTATAGTATATTATCTAGAAAGTAATCCGTTTTTGTTACGAGGACTGTATCCTTTCGCAATCTCTTCAGCAATAATTTATCTCAGTTAGAAATGCACCTCAGTTTTCCTTTGAATTACTTGGTTTAGAATTATTCAAGTCTTAAAAGCTAACAAAACTTTGTGGTGCTGCACAGAATGCCCTAGCATTCTGGCATTGTTGGTCTATTTAGTTATATACACACATAGCTTGCTGTTGATCACTTAGTTTGAGGAACAAATAGGCTAGGAAAAGGTTAATGTAAAGCAGGTCTGCAACAGCTAGAGAGGAAAATACTTAACTGAAAACAAAATGCTGAAGATGCAAACACATTTTTCCTCTATGTAGCAGAGAGGTTTCCATCCTGCTTTTTCTTACACAGGATCTTGTACTTGAATTCTGGGAGAATTTACTATAATCATAACCATGTCAAGAGGCATGATAAGATCTCCTTTGTTATCTTTTGATATTATTCAGTGGTACTAGCCACCTCGTGTATGCCAAGAAATTGAGTCAATGTCATTTTCAGTCTGTTTAAATGCAGTTCAAATATTATTTTGAAGAGACTGTTCTTTCTCTTTGGAGAAAGCTTTGGAAGTACTTTGAGTTAGGAGTCTGATTGACCAAGTCTATTATAGGATCTACCAATATGATCTAGGCAAAATCTGTGTGCAGAGAACGTCTTGCCCAAGAACGCTTCAGTGTTTCAAGTGAAATGTTAATTTAGAGTGATAGCAATGATTTCAGAGAGTTTAAATTTTTTCTTTTATTCTCTTGTACTGTTTTTTCTCATCCTGGCTTTTAATTGAATAGTTACATATTTTTTTCTTAGGCTTACTTCAACAGTTTAAAGAAAGGTGAGACTTTGCTTTCATGTATAGTGTTCAGGATTTTTTGATTACCTGTTTCTTTTTTCTTTATCAGTCAGGATGAGTCATATATTCATTTTACAGGTTTCTGCCACAACACACAGAGAGATAAATCATTTTTCAAATCTTATTTCAGATACATGCTATGTGCTGTCATTTGCGATCATTATGTTAAATACCAGTCTGCACAACCACAATGTAAGAGATAAACCAACAGTAGAGAGGTTTATTTCTATGAATCGTGGAATTAATGAAGGCGGAGACCTTCCAGAAGAATTGCTACGGGTAAGTTAGACTGGGTAAGACAAGGCATTGCTTTGTGTTTTTAATAGGAAATTTAGAAGCATGTACAACAGTTCTCAGGCAGATTTGTCGAGAGAAAGTAAGAAGAACATTTTCTAGCATGCATAACCATTTGAGTAGCTGAAAGAATATTTTCTGATATTCACAGCTGCTTTGAGCTAGTTCTCCCTGTATTCAATCTTTTGTTAAGGAGAGGAGATTCCAGAGAAAACGCTCTGTTTATCTCTCAGTAGTTTGCTGATGGCAAAATTCTGGTGGAATTGGCTTCTTATGGAAAAAAGTAGTATTTCTGGATAAGTCAGAGAAAGCCCGAAAAAATAGTAAAAATCATTGTTTCGTTATTGCCTCTCATTTCTTTCCATGTGTCTTGTGGAGCTTCCTCTTGTCCCTTCCTCTTGAGATTAAAAATACCTGTTTCTCTAAGACAGCGTGATGGTCTAAACCATTTTCTGAAAACCCAGGTTCATTTGGCAAAACTTGTACTAAATGAGACCTGAAGCTGAAACCTTTGAAATACTGAATGCTGAATTTAAAGAAAAAATGTCTTTGCTAGGAGTGCTTATAAAATCTGTAAAAAAGAGACACTTGTTTATAGATGAAATATTTTAAAATCAAACTTAATCAAAATAGTAAACAACAATTGAGATGGGATGGTCCAGAATTTTACGGACTGTATTTCCTATCTTTTTTATACAAATAGTCTGAGAAGCAGTAGGATGTCCTGGTTGCATTTTCTGTTAGACATTTATTAATGAGGTCTTTTTCCTCTTTTTTTATTCTTCTAGAATTTATATGAAAGTATTAAGAATGAGCCGTTTAAAATTCCAGAGGATGATGGAAATGATCTAACGCATACATTTTTTAATCCAGATAGAGAAGGTTGGCTGCTGAAATTAGGTTAGTTATAAGGGCAGTTTTGCTGCTGTATGTTTGTTCGTTGTTAGCATGTTTGCTGCTTCTGTGTCTGCTTTCTTGTGAAGGTAATAGGATTAACTTTGTAATTTGTATTTAAAAATGTATGAACCAAAATAAGTAACTCCTTTACATCTGAAGGTTGTTACTTCTTATTTTACATATCCAAATTAAGCAATCTTGTTTCAAACTGTGGAGTTTTGTTTCTGATATATGAGAAATAAAAACTTGGCGACAAAAAGGAAACGCCATATGGTATTTACATGCTGTGACTGATAAATAACAACTAAGTCTCCATAAGGTCATTTCAGAAAACTGTGTGATGTTTCAGCTCAGTTTTCTGTGTACAAAAAAAAGGATTTATCTTCAAATAGTTATTTTTGTATGTCTTTATTTTTCCATATTATTTGTGAGTTTCTCTTGGTTTGGTTTTGGCTATGATTTTTTAATGAGTGGTTTAAATGTACCTTCTTGTTTTCCTTATGGCCTATGACCTATCACCTTTCTGTTCTGTGACTGGCTGTCTCTGCTTATTCTGCATTAGGAGGTACGTATCTGATTGCTTTCCAGTCCCCTCTTCTTCAGTTGCTCATTCTTTTATTTTCTTCCTCCTTCCTCCTGTTCTTTTTTTCTTTTCTTTTTTTTTTTAAATCAAGTTTATTGTAGCATTTTGCTTTTTCACTCAGTGTCACTAACAGTATCATCAGTGGTACTCTGAAAGACTGGCATGTCAGTGTCTAGCTCACATGCGAGTGTCTTCTGCAAAAGAAGAAAGTGTTTACATGTAAAGCAGAAAAATAAAGATGACTATTCAGCATACTTTTCTCGTTCATTGAAGAACATAACAAGGGAAGAATAATATCTACTGAGAGAAAACATGTCTTACTCTTGTAATGAAGTTCCAGAGTGATTTTGTTACTTGTACATCAATTATATTAGATTATTGAAAGATTGATTACATTTGAACAATGCATTTATAAAAGCTGTTCTTTTTCCTGCTTATTTTCCTTTGTAAAGAATATATTTAGCTTATCCTAAAGAATCTTAAATGAGCACCAAATTTAGGGTTGCGGAAACTTCTGGTAATTTGCAGTCTCCTGGCACTGCAAGATGCCCTTGTTTACAGACTCTTTTAAAGTTGATGGGATTCACTTTTTCACTTGGGCTTAGGGAATTTTTTTCCTATGTAAAGGAGACTGAAATTTTATTTTAACATTTGTTTTTCAATGAAATAAACCTCTTTGATATGAAACACCAGTACACACTCCAACAGAGCCAGTTGTTGGCCACTTTAACGTATAACCGCTTGTTAAAGTAGAAGGAACTTTGCACTTGGAGAATGGTGACTAAAGTATGAAAAGGGATGTGTGCTGGGGGGTGCACATGGGGGGGAGTATGGTGAAAGGAGAGCCTGGTTAGAGCCATGGGCCCGCTCTACTGGGGGCGGGCACATGGAAATTAGTGGTCATGCTAGTGCTGGAAGAAAACAGATGTGAAAAGGAAGCATTTGTAATTAATTCGCATGCTCTCCAATGTCTTATTTTGACCTCTGTGCTACAGATGCTATAGAGCTCTTTGTCTTTCTAACTACAAAAAAAGCAAAGCTCTTGCTGGCACAATTTCAAAGATGACTTTGCAGCTTTTCTCCATTTTGTAGCATTGAGGTGATAGCTATCTCAACAGAAAGGCTTTCAAGATGATGTAGGTAAAACGCGCTTTCTGGAGAAGAGGTTGGGTATAAGCCCATGCTGTGCATATTTCTCCTTCTGTTGCCAGTGCGCTCTCATATACTTATACACATACTGAGGGTGCAAGCAAGAGTGTGAGTGTGTGTAGAGGAGTGACAACACCCCTTGTGGAAGAAACTCTCAATAGAAGACATATAAGAGATTTAATAAAAAACAGAGGAACAAAGAAATTGAAGGAAAAAGGTGACAAAGTCAGTGAGAGCTACCAGGTACTGCACAATCCATCTCTGGCTCTGGTGCAAGGTCAATAAAACCAACTTTTCATTATGTACGAGGTAGATGAGAGACAGTGCGCAGAAAACCCAATAGTAGAAGCATGCGTGAAACGGAAGGGTGTTGCACGTAACACTCCCACAGTGTGAGGGCTATTTGAGTAAAGAAATGAAACGTGTCCAGAAGCCTCTGGTGAATCAGCCTGTAAATGCGTGAAGCTGTGCTCCTGTGAAAGACTCTGGTTTTTTTCAGCAGACACGAACTGGTGCAGACAAATATATTTTGCTAGTTTAGATGCAGTGACCAGAAATAAACTGGGCAATCTTTTTTTCATCCCTCTCCCTCTCCCTCTCCCCCCCCCCCCCCCCCCCCCCCCCCCCCCCCCCCCCCCCCCCCCCCCCCACACGTTTGCCCTCCCTCCCTCTCTCTTTCCTCTACATTGAGTTTCCTATTTGCTAGGGAGGCTTAACTGTATGTTTGAGTGTGCTGTCTCGATCAACATTGTTTGCATTTTTACAGTCCTTTCTGTTGGGAAACACTTCTTGTGAAATGGGCAGGGTTTCCTTCAGTTCTGGAAGATGCTGATATTAAAAGTTTCAGTATTGTTGACATGCTAAGGAGACTATTCTTGCATGAGAGTTTAAGTGCTCAGTTGTGATAATACTTAAAAGTTGAAATAGGAAGTTTTATATAAAACTATAAATAAGACTAAGACAACTCCCAAACCCTGAGTATATCAAGACAGTATTTTGTGTTTGGTATTTCTTATAGTCAACTCTTCTCATTTATCTACTTATGCCCCTCTTTTTAGTATTCCAGCTCACCATATTGATTGTCCTCTGGGCAGGAGATGGCTGTTGTGAAACTTTCATATATTGTAAAATTAATCTGTCCTAAAGACCACCCTAGCTCTCTAGCCTGGCATTGGGTTTTAGAAAGCTGGGAGGGTGCAAAATGCTTTTGGAGAGTTTGCTGCTCTGAATTTTTCAGAGGTGACTTTGTGTAAGTCTGAGTGCCAAACCTGGCAGCAAGACAGCAATTCTGGTTTTATCTATCTAGACTCAGCTGGTACCTTTATATAGACATCTTTATCTCAGTAAACCTAAATTATCATTCAGTTCTACATTGTTTGAAGCGTGGTGTAATGAAAATGAATGCTGCAAGTGAAAAACTGAAAGCTGCTGAGTGCTAATGAATCCTCACTTAGAGCAGCTTGAGACATTATGAGCTTTTAGATTTTTCTGCGTCATAATTATTAGCGGTGTTGGTACCATGAAATTTTCTGCCATCCACTTTAAGGTATTTTGAAATTGCTGTCTCTGCTTTATGTTGTAATGCCCAAGTTACAATCGTTTTGTGCAGGGAGGCATTTCCTTGCCTAAAGAGCTTCTCGTGGCAAATAGCTTGGTTTGCGTAAGATTTTCTTCTAGTTAGAGGGAAACTGTCATATTATTCCACCAAACTGGAGAGGAAATGATTCAAGCCAGACACATGATTGTGTTAATTTTTTCTGCCAGTCAGGCAGTTACTGAGAGCTTGGAGATTGTCCAAAAGCTTCATATCCGGGCCAGTCCCGCCAGTGGTGCTTATTCCAGCACATCTGTCCTTGAGAGGATGTCGTTTCTCTTCCCTAATCCGGGGCGAGAGAATAGCAGTGGTTGGTCAGGAAACTGGTGCCTTCCGGTACCTGCCTGGCTCTCGTGGTAGCTGATGCTCTTCTAGGTTGGGGCAGTTAATGTTGCGGTCGAGGGAAACTTCTTTTTCAGAGGAACCCAAACTTTGATCCAATCATCTGTATAACTGCGCGGTTTCTGGGTCCGTTCTGCCTAGTGGTATCTAAATGAACTGAGAAGAAAAAAACCCATTCTTGATGTGTGCGTCTCTCTCTTTCCCCTCTAAAACTTTATATAAATGTGCTGAAGATTTGGGTAGAATTTTCTAAATTTAGATACATTGCTGCCTTTAGTCTTAAGGCCTTTTTTAATTTTGAAGTTGGTGTTTCCTAAGTCATTGCCAGTTACTTTTCCCTTTAGTATAGGTGGTTTCTTTTACCTTGTTCTCCAGTTTGTACTTTGCCCAGAGTTGAAAAAAAAAATCATCCTGTGTTGGGTTACATAGGTGAAGAGGGTTTCTGTTCCTCTTTCTGTACATTTTGCCTTGTTGTGGCCTTTTCTTGTAGTTTCCTTAGATTTCCACCTACAAGATATTGTGCTTCTTTTTTTGTTGTTTGAGATGTCTTTGCATTTTAGTTAATCAGATCTTTGAGAAGTACTTATATCTCTCCATTTCTGTAAATGTTTATGGATTCATATTCTGATTTTGTTGATCCTCTTCTGCTAACTTAATTCCTTCCAGTTTTAATCTTTAAAAGGCTGGGAGCTGGAATAAGATATGAAGTATGGTACTGAAACCCTTTGTTGTTTTGTAAGCCTACAGCAATCTCGGCCAAGGAAAAGAATATTTTGTTATTACGAGTTCTTACCCGTTAATCTTGCATGCAGTGTTTACAGGCCGTAAAGCCTTATCAGCCAGCTTCTTGGGGTTTAGCCCATTGTAAAGGCATATTAAATGCATGTTATATGGTGACCCCTGCAAACTTGATGAGTACAGATTAGATTGCCTTTCAAGCTTTATTAGAGTTTCTGTGCTGTTGACAGCTGCAACTAAGTAATGGGGTGGGCAGACAGAGACTTATATGTGAGAATAGTTCCTTATCCTGCCAAAAAATCCTGCCTTGCTGCTTTTTTTCTGGAAGAGAAGAGTAACTCATAGCTATGTGGAGCAGGGAGTTAGGGTCTATTTCCGTGACTGGCGTGAGCGCTGTAACCCGGTGAGCTACTGGCTGTTTTAGGGAGAAGGGAGCAGCAAGTGGGATGTTGTTGGAGATATTTAATCTTCTTTCTGGCTTCAACATCAATACTATTCTGGAGCTGGGAAATGTTTCATGACAAAAGCTTCATCAAAACTGGTTACAGAAGGTTTCAGGTTTGAGAAATCTGGCTTTTCCAAAGAGAGGGAATGTTGTCAGGAAAAATTTCAGCAAACTCAACTGTCACTTACTATTTGGCACTTCATGTTGTTCTAGGACATGTGTGTTTTAAGTCCGTTGTATCTGCCTTAAATTATAAGCAGGCCTTCTTTTAAATATATGGTTATTACCTGATTATTTTTTTATTGTGTTTTGACATGATATCACAGTTTGAGAAATGCCTTTGTTCAATTTAAGCTGCCTCTGTGATGGTAGCCTATTTGCCTGTTTGTTTCATCCTCTCTCCTGCTGAGTTTTTTTTCTGCGAGAACTGGACAAGCCATGACATTTGATGCTAGCTGATGTTACCTGTTAGCCTGAAAAATGTGGTGACCTTTTTGTGCCGTAAAAATGTTAAATGATGTTAACCTGTTAACCTTAGAGAGCAGAACGTGACTTAAAATCATAGCAATGACCATTGGGTTGTATGAAAAAACGTCATGTTACGGCGATAGCAGGGACTGCCCTGGCAGTCGTCTTAACTTGGCTGCTGCTTATTCATTGATCTGGAAGTGAGTCAAGCTGAAGTTCATTGACTTTCCATGCCTAGCCCAAATACTTCCTGATACTTGAACCAGCTCTCAGTCAAGGTGATGGGAATTTTTCTAGTGACTTACGTGCCAGTTTGAATGTTTCTACAATGCTTTATTTAAGGTTCTGTCACAGTGGTTGTACTAAAATGCCACCAGTTCTTCCCTCACTGTCTCCAGTTCACTCAACCATTCATTCTGTCACGGCTTCTGCATCTTGCACTATTTTGCCTTCTCTTATTTCACCGCACCTGCTTGCAGATTAAATTTTTCTTAAGATGTGTGTGCGTGTAGTGGAAACATAAAGTTTATTGAGTACATTGAACATTGCAGTGTGTTAGTACTGGGTTACTGTGTAGGTCATGAAACCAAGCAAAAGGAAAATATGACATGCAACATACTCGGTCTGCAATGCAAACACGTGTAGGCTGGTATCAAGAAATTTCATTATATTCCTAGAATTGTTCTTTAACTTAATTTGATTTGGATTTCTGTATTAAACAAAACCCCGGCTATCTCAAGTAGAACAAAAAGTTTAAAAAATTATGCTCCTGTCTTAGATTTAGTTATATGACTTGGATTAAATTGGGGGTCTTGTGTGTATTAATGGTACTCTTCTATGCATGGGTGTTCAATAGCAAGATCAACTATTTTGAGACGTTGGGTTAATGAGATTAAATCACTGCTGAATGGATGATGCACAGGTGGTGACATAATCCTGAAGTCAGATAACTATGGTGGAACTAAGCCTGTATATTAGTAACACGTGAATGCTTTATCTACAGTTGTCTTTCCTGGAAATGATGTAATTGTGGAATGCTAGACATGTTCTGAAGTAGCCGATGGCAGAAAACCAGCTGAAAGGGCCGAGACAATAATGTGTGTTTCTAAAAGGAACTGTTCCCTACAGTGTGACATTGTTAGGTGTAAGAAAGAGGAGCTCTGTGGTTGCTGTTGTCTAAACTGGTAATGCAGGAACAATAGGCATTTTTGGAGCAGTAGCTATATGATGTATTAACCTATAAAGAGAACATGTTTTTAAAACACTAAATGATAAAAAGTGACTAAAAATGGTACATTTTGGCATAGGATTTGCTCCTTATTGATGACACATTAGATTTGTTCTGCTGATAATCATAGATAGAATCACAGAATAGTTTGGGTTGGAAGGGACCTCTAAAGGTCATCTAGTCCAGCCCCCCTGCCGTGGGCAGGGACAGCTTCAACTAGATCAGGTTGCTCAGAGCCCCGTCCAACCTGACCTGGAATGTTTCCAGGGATGGGGCATCCACCACCTCCCTGGGCAACCTGGGCCAGTGTTTCACCACCCTCAGCGTAAAACATTTCTTCCTTATTATCTAGCCTAATGTTTATAAGCATCTTATGCACTTGATGTTAAATCTGAAAGTAGAGATAGGTTCTCAATCACATGTATGCTCACAAGTGGAGTGAAAGGAAGGTGATAAAATGGCCTTAATTTTATTGATGGGACCCTTTCCTTGTACAAGACAGGCTGTGGAGAGGGTTGGTCCTGTTGCTGGAACCCAGTTGCTGGTTTTGCTGGTAATTGGCCTCCCTTCGCTGCAGCAGCTCTGACTGCATTTCTGAGGGCTGTACAGTATTAATGTTTTGGATGCAGTAAACAACTGTGATGGCATGGACAGAGGGAGCAGGTCTGACTGCTAAACTATTGCATTCATTCTCTGTAAGAGAGGAGACATTTACAGCTTTAGAGCATACAGTTTTTGTGGCTGATCAGCAACACCATAGTTAATGCTGTCTCAGGAGTTTGATCTTAGTACAAGAGTTACAGTAACATGTTCCTTTAACCTCAGCTCATCTGTGCCTGATCCATTTACGATTAAGTAATTAAGCCATATTTTGAAAAACAAGCAAGACTAAATTACTTTCTTATCCATTGTTGAAGTCTTGACAGCGACACACATTTAATTCAGCCATACCTTTTGATTGTAGGGGGAAGAGTAAAAACGTGGAAACGGAGATGGTTTATTCTGACTGATAATTGCCTGTATTACTTTGAATACACAACAGTGAGTATATATTACAGTGAACTTTGTTTGTGATCAAGATATTTAAGTGGCTAATAATGTGGTATTTTCCTAATTTTTTAGGACAAAGAACCCAGAGGAATTATTCCGTTAGAAAATCTTAGCATAAGAGAAGTTGAAGACCCTAGAAAACCAGTAAGATATTTTCGTAATACTTTTTTTTAAATGAAGATGAGTAAACGATATAGAACATTGATGTAGTGTTAACTCAAGATGTTTGTCAGTTTTGTTTTGTTTGTTAAATTTATTTCTTCATTTCTACCCTCCAGAACTGCTTTGAGCTCTATAACCCCAGTCATAAAGGTCAAGTAATTAAAGCGTGTAAAACTGAAGCTGATGGTAGAGTGGTGGAAGGCAACCATGTAGTGTATAGAATATCTGCTCCCACCCCAGAAGAAAAGGAAGAGTGGATTAAATCTATCAAGTGAGTTTAAAGTCTTAAATGTCTTTCAGAAATGAAGCGTAAGCTCTTTTTGGAATAAGATACCAAGAGAATTTGTTTTCTAACTTGGTTGAAGAATTCTGATGTGGCAATGTCCCCCAGGATTAATGACAAGCTACATGGCGTTGATGGATCAAGATACAAGCCTCCTGTTACTGTCTGATCCTAAGGGAATAGAGCTACTAACTCAAATGAGGAAAATGTGGATTATTTTTTTTTTTTTTTTTAGCAAATGTAAAGCCTTGTGTGAATCGTCTTTAACCCTAATTTTATTAGATTCTTACTTCACTTAATAATTAATTTTAGTGTCATTTATCCTAAGCATGTTCACAGCACAGCTTTAAACTTTCACAGCTTGACTTTATCTTGTAAGGTTTATAAAGCAGACCCACACTTAAAGAAGTAAATAATGGTCAAGATGAAGGTATGAACTCTTAACAAATCACAGCTGAATAACATCTTTTTCTAAAGAAATATTTGTGATACTTAGAAGTGAACCATCCATTATCTTACTAAGAGTGTGGAGTCATCCACAGGGAAGAGAGAACATAATAGTTTTAGTTTTCAAAAACAGGTATTTGATAACCAAATTGATGATTCCTTTTTCTCTTTTAGAGCAAGTATCAGCAGGGATCCCTTTTATGATATGCTGGCAACAAGGAAACGAAGAATTGCAAATAAGAAATAGAACATGATCAGCAACTTTGTATACCTGCATCAACCTATACATGAGCATACAGTTGAGTGATAATGTAAAAATTGGACAAACTAAATGAAGACAATAACTGTAAATTTTATATATATACACTTTACTATGACATAAAAACTTGGCAAGACCTTTCAGGGTAAATAGTTATTGGCATATAATTTGAAGTAAGCTTCAAATCCCAGAGGATGATTATATTGGTACTTAATTCAACTGAAAACATGGAAGCCTTGTTTTCACTTATATTAGTCACAACTCCAGTTTACTTGGGTTGGGAGGAAAGGAATTCAAGGCTAATAGTAAAATCTCCTATACTGGTTATTTGAGCGCATTTCCCATAAAAGGAGGAGTGATTATAAGACTTTCATCTCCCACTAAAACGCAGCACCAGAAGTGGAGTACAGTGTGATCTAGCACTTAATTTTTCTGAAAACCCACGATCTCGATATCGGTTTTCAGGTCTTGTGTGTTTCGCAGTAAATGAACAGCTGAGTGGAGCTTTCCTTTAGGATTCGCTCTCCTACCTTTATGGAAATAGCTTTTCTTCTCCTTCAGAAATGCAACTCAGCGGTAGACTGGCAGCTACGTAGTTAACTAGTTGTGCCAAAGGGTTTGGTTGATATGCACTGAAGTGTATGCAGGTCCCAACAGCAAAGGTTTGAGTCTGTAGACATGACACTAAGTACAGATGTGGTTTGATGTTTGCCAGTAGGCTAAAACTCATTCCTGTCTGCTCATACGCTCTCAATAAGCACTAAGATTTAATGACTGGTTTCATCTGCTTTTTATATAGTAACATCCTTCTTATGTTTTAGATATGTTGTAGTTTAATTAACACTAAGTTACTACTAAAGGAGTAAGATGACAGGGCTTGCATGAGTTTAGGCTTTGCATGTGAAAATACCCCCAGATAATTTCACGTGTGCATTTAATGTTTTTAAAGGGGAAAAACCAGGAAGGTGAAATCTTTCTGTAAGATACAGCCCTAGATAGTTAAGCAAGCAGGATTCATTCCTTTGCTTGATAACAAAGTTTGGACATACAGAAAAGTTCAGTATTTTTATTGCATTCTTAAAGGCGATTTTTCAGATCTGTGCTTCAGCAGTTGAAATTGAAAAAACAAATAGACATCCTTATTTTTACTTTAAAATCTTACACGTCGATTACCTAGTGCAACTAAACTCCCCCACAAGCACGTCTCTTTTTTTTTTTTTTTTTTTTTTTTTTTGTGTGGTGCGTGCCTGTGTGTGTGATTTGTAAGATCTTTCTGTGGTCCTACTGATAGTCTTTCAGTAACATGTAAACTGCTACGGCAGATTTTACTACAACGCTTTTCTATTGATAGCGCACATACCATTCTTAAAGTAAAGCCCCTAATTCCACAGTGGGCGAAAAAGTGGTTTTTTGGACCCTACTGCTTCTGTTAGTACTCAGTTTTTCACAGCCTTGTTGAACCTGAGCCGTGCCTACCGTGCCAGTGAATGCTTTGGAGACCCAATACTTTGTCAAAGCAATTTTGCTTGTTGGAGTTACAGAAGCGTCTCTGGATAAATTAGAGGGAAACGTGCTGCACTGGCAAAACCACAGAGTACTAAGTTGATCTGTTTCACATCTCCTTTTAACTGTAAGGGAGTCTGTTTCATTGTTCCCGTCTTACTAATTTGCCTTGTTTTGCATGGGGTGTCAGCCTGTGAATGTTTTGCTTTATTGCATGTTTGCCAAAAAGGCCGAGAGGAAAAGAACAAAGTAAAAACTTCTCTACACCTTAGATTTTCCCCAGAGTGTGTGGAATTGCAGCCTGCTTGGATGAATGTTCAGATCCGAGTACTTTCAAGGGAGTAAAACTCAACCAAAGGAGGTAGAATCCTTGAACAGGTATCGGTGTGGGGACATCTTTGCTTAATGGAACACACTTAAACTCTTTATGGAAACGAATTAAGTTGTATGTCCCATGTTTGCAAAGCAGCATGATTGTGGAGCTGCTAACATCACTTGTTTTGAGTCTTCTGTTCCGCAACTTCAAGTTCTGTTTTCAAGCAATGCATGTATCGCTTTTAGCTTTGGACAAGTAGATTTGTAATGCAAATAGTGATAAGCCAGAATCAGTGGTACTAATGAGTGTAAAGGTGAAAAGCAGCAAATAAAGTATTTCTGGAGAAATGTGAGATTACAGAAGCATTAATAAGCCATGAAGCACTTTTGTATCAATTCTTATCTTCTGAAATATCACCTTCAAGAAAATCTATTTATTTAACCAGGTGAGGATGTCTGCCTGTAAGCATGAAGGAAATGCCTTGAGAGTTCATTTGCTGTATTTAGTTTGAAGTTCTTATATCCGGCAGAAATAATTATTTAGAGTAACATGTAACAGGATATTATAGCAGGAAATATATTATTTCTTAGCATTAAAATGCAACATCTTAAACAGCTATTTGTGGTGCTCAATATATCTATTTAATTTACCAAAGCTAATGGAATTATTCTTGTATGTGATAATATTTGATTTCAAATGTTCTTTGTAACAGTATTAACAGGGAGTGAAACTGGCCCAAAATTTCCACTGGCCACGAGGCCAGTAAAACAAAGTGGCTTGTGAAAATTTTGGCCAAATCAGGTACTATCCGTGAGGGTGAAGAAAAATCTCTCAACCTTTCCCTTTTTCATTGGGCTTCAAGTCCAGGGGTAGCTACTAAGACTAGCTGCTCGGTGGTCTAAAGCAATATCTGTTACAGTTTGGCCGTGCTGAGCGAGGAAAAGTCCTCTGGGGACAACAGACTTCTCCCTCCCTGTTGCACTGAAACTTGCATAATGCTTCAGCTCTTCGTTTTTAACATTGCCCTTTACGACTACAGGGGCCAGCAAGAGCCACTACTGCTTCTGCCACGCACATGGCTTTGCTCACTGTCCAAACCATTTGGCCACTACCATCAGCCACGTTGCCAGTGCAATCTAGGGAGAGAACTGTATGTAATACTTAAGCTCAGCTGGACTGACTTAAATTTTACAATATTCTGACAAAATAAGCTCTATGTCACTTAACATTTTGAACCGTTTTAAACTGGTACAAAACTGAACCTTTGTAAACTGAGCAGCATTTATAATGCTTCATATATAAAACCAATGCATATTTTTAAGATTTATTACATATCTATGTAGATATGCTTGCTGGAAAAGCTAGGTCTGTTGTAGACCAAATGCTACAAATTAAGACTTGTGGCTTACCAGTTTCATTTCTATATTTTCTTGGAAAATGTTTCTAGCTAGAGTTTAAATATAAAATGTAAATACTGTACAGATATGTATTGATATAAGCATTACTTGGTGTACACAAGTGATTTGCATGACAAATACTCTGTATCAATCATTGTTAAAAATGTGATGTTCTATGTAAATCCACTGCAATATTAATGTTTTCATTTATTAAAACCTGTTGCTTAAATATGGAGATTTTCTCAAAAATAAAGTGTGAAACTGTACTATTGTATAGCTCCTCATTTACTGAGAATACGTGGGAGGCAATTGCTGATTTTTTTTTTAATTATTTTTTATTTTTTAGTGATTAAGGTTCAATTTTGCAGCATGTGTTATAACCACTCTTGTAAGTAAAAGGCGTCTCTTCCCTACCTTTAGGCACACTAATTTAAATTATCAGGTTTAAATTTTCAGAGAGAAAAACCATCAACTGCAAAATAGATTGTTTCAGTAAAGTATGCTATGACTGAGTGTTATTCCATTAAGAGCTGGTTTCCCTTGAGAGCTACCCTGAATTAAGGAGGTATTTTGTTAGTTCCCTTCGATGAGTTTCAGTCAAATGTAAGGGGGGTGGGAGGGAATCGGATCATCAGATCTCTGCTCCTCAAGTAGAGTAATTAGACCTCCCCCAGTTAGAAATAGCTAACGCTGCTGCAGTCACCCAGCCTGCTTCTCCATAGCTCTAACCTGAAGCTGTCACTAACTGCCCTCCCTCCATTTACTGCTTATTAGCTAGTTCAGGCTGTTGTTGCTTCTGGAGCTCTTAATGGAGGTACAGCAGTCAACATTTAAACTCCTTTTATACATTTATGCCGGAGTTATTCATCAGACAAAAGACAAGACACCAAATCTTGGAGCCAAAGGACAAAAGAGGAAAAAAAAGCCAGATACAGGAAAGGTATGTGGTTTCTTTGTCATGTTACTTTATGTAACTTCACATAACTGTTGCCATAGGAACATTATGCAGGGTACACTTATGGTTTGGCTTTATGGTGTTCTCCATGTACCAAAATATTACTTTAAGTATTTAGTAAAACATTAACCTTGCTCCTTTTTTTTTTTTTTTTTTAGTGTCACACACAGTAAAAAGCTACTGCTGAGCTTCCAACCTGTTGCCTGGTTTTGGAAGCTTTTAACTTCAAAGGAGAAAGCCTTCTGCATTCTTGTCTAGGCAGCTGAAGTCCCAAGTTACTTATCTTCTCTGGGTCACACCGACAGCATCTTCTCACCTACCACTGAAAGGAAGATCTGATTTCTTGAGTATCAAACACACTCCGAAAGCTGTCAATTCACATGACATATTGCATGTTAAATAACTCAAGTAAAACTCAAGTAAAAATCCATTTTAACTTTGCTGTATTTATATACTATATAAATTTTACATGCTATATATTTACAGTGGGGCAAGTGCTTTTTATCTTTAAAAAAACAAAGATCAAACTTTAGACATCTCTGAACAACACAGCTTGTATAAACCAGACAGATTATTCAGATGAACTGTATTTAATACAGGTTCCCCACTCATCTCCTGATGCAGGACCAGTGAATAATAAGTGCATCACAGTTTGATAGCATTTAATAATAAAAATAAAAATCACAGTATGAATTTTTCTGTAACTAGACACTTTAGAGAGACAAAACAGACAACTGAGACTTAAGACAAGTGACAGTATATTAAGAAAATGTAATACAAACATATGGAAGAGTAAACAAATAGTCTTGAGAGATACATTCAGAACTGCATATTCGTTGTTTCACAATGTTGAAAACCAGAAGATTTTCTTCAGATCTTGAATATAACTCAAATGTGAAGTAAATTAGTTTCTAGTGTCAGACATCACAGAAAAAAGATGCAGCTCTTGCAAAACTCTAGTTATTTGAGAGCTTGTGAAATTTTAAATAAGTCTTTAAATTAAATATACAGACTGTCAGTTGCAATTTTTATAATTCCTGGTCGCTCTTGCACCAGATGTCTAACTTGGAGTAACATTACATGAATAACATAAAGTCAACCTGAGTCTGTAATTAAGCAGCATTTGAGATGGTCTATTCCAGGGCATTATCTCACATCAGTGAGATATTTATGTGGTAATTTACAATGTTCAGCAGTTGTAAAAAGTTTCCACCCTTTTGGATTAGAAGTATATTTTAAAAAAGAAAGTCTCAAGTTAAAAACTAAAAAAAAGTTCTTTCATGGTAAAATTCTGTACAGAAATGTTAAGCACCACTTATGACTGGATTTTGTCTTGATGGTAATTGTTTTGATAATAAATTTTAAGTTTTGATGGTCAACGTTGGTAATGTCGGGTTTGATGGTAAAAAGTTGTTGGTTTTGATGGTATAAAGTTGTTGGTTTTGATGGTGGGTTTAGTTTGAGTATTGAAGGCTTCCATCAGTAAGCTCCGCATCTGAAAGACAAAAGGAAGCAATGTCATTCCCTGTCATGACACTCGACATAAAACTACGTCTTAGTGGGTTGATTTCTGAAAGTCTCAAACCTGCACCCAGCTCCATCCGCTCTGACTATAGGATCCCACTGACTCGGGAAGGTGGCTTCCTCGCATTTAAACTGACTGCATTTTAGTTCTATGCTAAGATTGGTGAATGGTACAGAGCATTAGGACAAAGCTACCTGCTTTAATAGCAAATGGTAGACCTTAGGTAAATTAAATTTAGTGGAAGTTTTGCCTTGACAGCACCCTTGTGATCAAGCTGACCAAATCTTACCCACAAAAACAGAAGCCTTCAGAAACTTGCTGGAGAGAACACGTAGGAAACTAACTGCCTTAAAGCTGCTCCTTCTCCCATCCTATCTGGATTTTTCTTAAATCACAAGTTATCACTAGCCACTTTCATCCTTATCGATTTATTCGAAGTAACATGAGTCCTGGTGAAAAGGCACAACCTAACAATTCCTTCTCAGTTGTTCCTAGTCTGTCCCTAGCTGGTTCGAGAGGTTCAATACTCTCTGAAAACACACTGCCAAAGTGGCCTTTTTTGAGATGAGATTCCATCATTCAGAAAATCCTACTTGAGACCCATTTTTTTAAAAAAGATTGATCTTCCACAAGAGGAAGGTAATTAACATCCATGGACTCGACGACATACTAAAATTCTCAAGACTTAAAAAACTGCTTTTCACAGCTCTCATATCCCACGTGTGTTGCAAGCAGTGTATCAAAGTGGAGTACTGTCGTCGTATTTATCAACGAACATCTCTTTCACCTACATAGCCCAGTAATCTTAATGCCCCTGACTTGCGTAATGAGATGCAAGACATTTACTTTCGTACTATTCTTTTGACTGGTTTGGAAAAAACCGAGTTTGCCATCTGCTGGCCAGAGAATTCACTAAAGCCAAACGAGTATCACAGCAGATGCATTTTGTTCTGTGCAGTTTCTGATTTATCAGCTAGAACAGAGACACTTTCAGTGCAATAAGGATTATTTTGACATTAGTATAATAAAAAAGTCTATTTTTACAACAATAGTATTTGAAAGACCTCAATTCAGTCCTTTTTCTTAAATTTTCCTTGTTAAAGAGATAAATATCGTATTAAATTTTACAAGAAGAATGTGTGACCAATCAGCTTTCCCTCCATACTATATTTTCAGAATAAAACTTTTGGTTGTCTATGTCCTAAAATACAATCATCATTTTTCCACAAACACACTTCCTCTTTGCCTTAAGCAAACTTTTCAGTGCAAGAATCTACTGACTGTGGCAATTTACCTCAATGTGGAAACCACAAGGAATTTTGAAAATTAAAATCTCTTCCAAGATTAAACTTCTCCAGACTGTGAAATGCATTCAGCTGTAATGCAAGAAAATGAATTATTTTGTTTTCTATGCCAGAACGACATTTTCAACACCGGGCTATTAATGAACAGGATTAGTGAACCCAATTCTTAAATTGTGGGTAGGTATAAAATGTAGAAAATTTAAAAATAAAACTTGCTTTTGGATAGCGAGCTGTCTTCTTCAGGGATTACTTCAGTTATCTATAAGAGTAAAATAGATGGGGGGGGTTGTTTGTTTATTAAAAAACCTGAGCAACTGGGACTGGCTTTATGTCAGATAATGGGCATTTAAGAAGGTTTTATTTCTATAATAAACGCTTCTGTTGAGAAAAATTTCATGGGAAATGTCAAATTTGATTTTAGATGTTGAATTTGTTGCAGTGTGCAATCTTCATTGCATAATTCTAGAGCTAATTAACTTAAACCGTATTATCTACTGAGAGCCCAAGTCAGGACTATGACAAGCAACAGCAGAGAATTCAGTGTAAATTCAGTCAGGCACTCAAGTTTGTATTTAGTTTTTTTTTAAGCACCAAACTGATTTTTTTTAATATTAAAAATTGAGAAGGAGCTGTTTTATCAGCCCACTTCACTGTATTTTTAAGCCTATACTAACAGAAAAAACCCACAAATAAATAAAACAATAGCAGGAATTTAACATACTCTCCAGTGTTAAATGGCAAAGCATCCTCTGGAGGGTTAACAACTGTGAATTCAGTGTGCTTAGGAGAAGGCAGATCTACATCTGAAACAACAATATTTCAGTATTATCACCAACTTACGTTACTCTGAATAAGCAGTCAGCACTGTTTCTATGTTATGAAATAGCTGAACATAGTATTTCACCTAAATCGATTACTCTGGCAGTCTTTATGAAGGTGGTGTTTCACTACAATATTACTAGCCTGCAAGTCTCATGTCATCATCTTCTATCTTGACTACTGAACCTGCTGTCTCCCTACTAGATTCTTTTTCAAGATATAGCTGCCCAAGGTTTTCTTTCCTAGTTAGTTGGACTGAACTTAATAAGGAATCTTGCATCTCTCTCCCACTTGTTCGCCACTTAACCATCAGATCAAATTAAAATTACTTGCCCTTTAACCCCTTCGCAGTTTTATTTCAGACTTTCTTTCCTAGCAGTCATTTAAAAATGGAAAAAAAAAAAAGCCTATCAACTTTTTTTTATATTAATGCACTGTTCAGAAGCCATGATATAAAGCAGAGATTTCATCACACAAGCACTTAAAGATTGTTTTAAATAATAGTGTCTATGTGAATAAAAAGGTGTCCTGCAAACATCCTTGGCCCCTTACCTTTAACGTACTCATTGGATGTGATGGAGCTGTATTTCTTGCTTTCACCTGCACTGGAAGGCTTCCCTTCCTTGTAGGGTTGTTTACTGCCCTGGTTTCTGTATTGCTCACATAAATAGCTGTCTGGAGGACAGGATTCTTCCTTCTTCTCCCGTGTTTTCTTCTGGAAACGAGGATCTAAATATTCCAAGAAGCCTTTCAGTTTCCTGATGTGTTTCTTCTTTTTCTTCTTTTTCTTACGTTTGCGATTGTCATTGTCAAAGCGGAGCACAGAGAAATCCAAATCATAAAGTCTGAAGGAAACATGCAAGTTAAAAATAGAAAAACAGATGTGGCACTTGATGCATATATGAAACGTTATTTATTTTACCACAGGTGATGACTTGCAGCGTTTCAGCTATTTCGTGGTAATTTCTGCACATCTAACTTACTTTAGATGCAGCAAACTTAAGCCCTCAGACTGAAGGACAATAGGTCCTGGCTTGTACACAAATCATTAACAATGGCTAGTTGTGGAATAGTTGGATTAAAAAAAAAAAAAAAAATATTGTTGTAACCTAATCAAGAACGGTGTGCAGATGTGATTCTAACTATGTGGTCCTGATCTAGTGTTCTAACACAATTCAGCAACATCTTTCCTACCTTCACTTGACTAACCTAATGACATGGTCCCCAGCCAGATTATGCTATATGAATAACTTAGAAACAATGAAAAAAAGGCAGACATGAGAAACACCCAGAAAAGAATTAGGAAAAATTGCTGATTATGCTGGAATCCTTGCTTACTTGTAATCCTTCTCTCGATGTTTATCTTTGGACTTCTTTTTCTTCTTGACCTTCTTGTATTTTTTCATTCTTTGGTCACCTATCTTTCGGCATTTCTTTTCTATTTCGCTTCCGCTTCCTTCTGCGTGCGTATATTTTCTTTTGCCATTTCTTAGTTTTTCTTTCTCATTTTCCCGGGAAGAGTCCTCAAAATTTGAATGAGCTGACACAGGTGGAAGTGCATGCCTTTCACGAGAATATTTTTCAGATTGCTGCTGAGGTACTGAACAATGATGTAAGTTCGCTCTGTGGCTGCTGAAGTGATGTACGTCTTCCTCTCTGGAGAGCGCATTGTGAGGCCATCTGCTTTTGCAATGATAATCCTTATGTGACCTGTTGTTGTAAGCTTGACTCGATTTGTCAAAGTCTTTATCACAATGAGAGGACTTTCTCTCTCTACCATCTCTTGTTCCATGAGAGGAATAATACTCATTGTAGTATCTGCATTTTTCCCATCTCCGTGGTTCATCTTGATAGTATCTTTCTCTGCTCCAAGTTCTCTCTCCTTTGGAATGATAATATCTATTCCTGTCTTGTTCTGTTCTTTCTCTGCTTCGGGATCTATAACGAGAATATTTTCCTGAGCTTTTGCCATTATTTGGACTGTTTCTCTCATTATGGGAAGATCTGTACTTGCTTTCATTGCAATATTCCTGCTTATGACGATTTTGCTTATTTGTTTCCACACTGCGGGAGCACCTCCTTTTGTGGGAATGATCATCTGTTTTGCTTCTGGTTTGCTTCTCCTTCTCCCTCTCTTCAGTGTCCGAGTTTTCTCTCTTCTTTCGGTAGTGCTCTTTGTCAGTTTTTTTAGAGTCGTATATTTTTTTCTTATATTTTTTCCTATGTTTATCTTCTTCACATTTTTTATTACTCAGTCCCTCGTTTTCTCTAGAAAATTGACTCTCCAAAACTTTATCCAGCTTTGTAATAGAGGAGTCATTAACAGGTGGTACCTCTACATAGTTATTAGAAATGTCCTTTGTATCTTGGCATTTATCTGTAATATCTAGAGATGCAAGTTTTTTAGAAATACATTCAATGTCAGACTTTATAGAGGAAGTTTGCCCTAATTTCTCTTCGTTCTCAGGAGACCCTTTGATGTACAAAGGATTTTCTTTTGAAATGAGTTCAGGTTCTTTTAATCTTCTTGGTTTGTCTTTGTCTCTACTATCTTCAGATTCACAATGCCCAAGGAATTCATCTTCAGTGTCCAAGGATTTTTTCCTGACCTTGTGCTGACCATTGATATTGGGATGCACGTTATCAGTTTTTGTTATAATACTTTCAGCAACAACTTCTTTGGTAGAAATGGTTTCAGAATCTGATTGAGTAAAAAGATTCTCAACCTCACAGCTAAAGTTGGAAGGAACCTTCCTGGATTCTTCATAGGCAAACAGTGCTTCCATCACTACAGTTTCCATAAGAGCATCATTCTCAGAAGATTTCTGAGGTCCAGGGACACTGCACAAAATAAAAACACATTTTAAATGGACTTTTTCAAGTGAAAAAGATGAATGTTAGGAGTAAAATCCCCTTAAGTAAAAAAAAATTGGTGGCTACTGGCAAACTCTGAAAGACATTCCCTTTAGAAACCTATTATTGCACCTTCCTAAGCTCCCAGGGAAGGTGGGTTTTTTTCTCTTGATTCTGCAAGTATTGCATTAAAAAACCCACAGCCAACACATCTGTCTCCCTCCACTTGCTGCTCTGAATCACATCAATAGCCAAAACCACTACATTTGCTCTCCCCGCAACTAGAAAAAAGTAAACATGTGGATTTCCCTCTCTCTCCCACAGTAGACAGGTAAAACAATGATAAACTTATATGAAATCTTGTTTTAATCAGAGTGTACTCATTTTACCTTATTTCCTCTGACAAGCTGTTCAACTGGCTGTATGTGAGAGATTCTAAGATTATTTCTTGAGGAACCGGCGACAAAGCTATAGGCATCTACAATTAAAATGTAGAAGTTAACAGACAGAAAAAATACTATCTTTAGTAGAAAACTACTGTTTGCAAAATTTCTACATTAGATGTTAAACAAGATCACTGAGTTATATGCGCTATCCCCATTTTACACATCACCCCACTCACCACCCCAAATATATGTATGGAACTTATGAAGTATTATCTCAGCTGAACTTCTCTTAAGTTGACATGTTCTCATATGTCAGCTCAGCTCTGCAAATTCTAATGGGATAATAGCATAAAGTGTTACGATGAAATTTGTGCTGTTTTCTCAGTATTTCACATCAATTAGGAACATTATAATGCTCCTGAATGCCAAATACATCATAGGTGAGAAATTCTAGATGGAACAAACATAACTCACTGTTTCAAGCAATCCATTTGTTTTAGAAAAGAAAATCTCAGAAGGTTTAACAGGTTGGACTTGGCAAGTGGAATCATCAAGTTTCAGTCCATTTTCTTTAGATTCATTATCTAAACTAATAGCACCATTTAGTGAATCATTTTTTGGCAGCTCATGCTGGGATCTTTCTTCTTCAGCATTCTGAGAGGAAGAATGGGAATTCTGCAATGTCCGGACCACCTTTCCAATCAAAATTCCATTAGAAGATATTATGTTGCAATTCCTTTTAAACAAGCCCTTCGACTCCTCAGATTTTCCTGAAGATTCTGCACCGTAAGGGACTGTGTTATCAGAGCTGAGTTTAGGATTTCCATTCACTGCTGGCTCAACAAAAATTTCATCAGGAACTTCCTGTTTGGAAACGTTAGTAGCAACTGACATTGTAGATGCATTTGAGGTAGACTCTGCTGCAGAAGAATTTGTAATTGTGGATGAAGGAACAGGCTTGCTTAGATCCTCATCCTCCGCAGCGCTGCTAAGACAGTCAGGTTGCGACACAGTCTGACGTGCAGGCAATTTGTTATGAATACTGATAGTGATCTTCTGGTTTTTCGATGGATCAGTAATTGAAGGCCTGGTAATTGCCCAGTTTTGAACACAAGCTGTTGGCGGAGCTGAAGACGGCCTTTTTAGGGTGACACCAACGGTATTTGGATCCTCTTTTAGGGGTCCATTTCCATTTAAACGACTTGAATTCTGTATGGATATGTGCAAATACACAGCATTTAAAGTTTTAAAACATTAAATTCTCCTACTAAATATTTCTACGAATTGCCTCAACACCCAAGAAGAAAAAACGCTCCCCTTCAAATATAAATGTAAGTCCAACAAGTGTGGTTAATTTTGGTTTACTGCATATTGGTATCAAATAAGCATCATTTTTGAAACCCACCCAAACAACTTAGCATTGACTAAAGCTATTCCCAAAAATATTTATTTTCCCCTTTAAACATTCCCTGAAAACACTGGAATAATTGTTCTGATACTCAGGAACAAGACAATTTGTTTTCACCGTCTCAGCTAAAGTGACACTGATGGAGGGGGGGAAATAATATTTTTTTTTTTTTAAATTATTTAAGCATTAATAGACTATTTATATTGTCTCAATAGTGTAGTTTTCAGTACTTTAGAAAGCTGAGTTGGAAGTATAAAGTAATGAAGTAGCATGGCTGCACAATTTAAGATTAGCCACTGTTTGAATAATTCTGGCTGTAGCGTGAGGGCTGTGAAGAATGCTGCAGTGTGGGAGGGGAAAAAACCCCCAACACTCAGATGCTAAAACACAACAAAAAAAACCCCCACCAAACCCAAAAACCACTATCAATTTGGTGCCATTATCTGCCCCCCTCAAATTACCTTTATCATATGAGGAGGAAGTCGTGGTCCCATAAATCCAGCCTGCTTACTATTAGCCCCCCGCTGACCAAGGAATGAACGGGGATAAGACGGTGCTGGTAAGTAAAAAGCACGTTCTCCGAGCGTCAAATCATAGCGCCTTGGGAAAAGAGCAGTGATCTTAGTTTAGAGTTTTTCTTTCAGCCTATTCGTGGATTAAATCCCATCCTATAATTTTACAGGAACAGTTTATATGACACAGAAGACATATATAGAAGACTTAACCAAGACAACAAACTGAAAATTAGATAATGGTCTTCCTACAATGACTATCCTTTTCAGAGCAATAACTCATGCTTACACCATCTATGGCCTTAATTTCTTTCCTCTTTTCTAAATTAGCCAGCTACAGAGAGCAGATATACAGCAATGTACACAAGTGCGGCAGTTTAAGGCCAAGCTATGAAAGACAATAAATGATATGGGGAATTTCAGGTTAGACAGGACTGAATCATACAAATAGTAATCTTTACCTAGGACAGAAAGAAAAACACTTGAAAAGAAGAAAAATAACAATAACAGGAAAGTAAATATATTCTGAACGCATTTAGTATTTGTTATTACCTGATATAAAAAAGTACATAAGCTTGCTGATTGAGAACTGTTTTGATATCAGAAAGGTCTACTGAGGCATCATTCATTCGATACCAAAGTCCATTACCGGCCTGCAAATAAAGATAATGGTATCTTTAGATGAATTGCATGTTTTCCAAATGACATCACAGATAGAACACTACAGAACAAAACATACCAAAACAAATAAAACAAAACATATAATGCAACCTTTTCCCCTAAAAACAGTGGTTACCAGTAACAATTTGTCAGCACAGATTTTACCCTGTTAGAAATCAAGCTGATATCTACCTTTATGAAGCAGAGATAGTGTCCTGCGTTACAGTTGAAACCACTATGTACAAGAACTGCATATAAAGCATAGATGAGTGGTTCTCCAATTGATTGGGACATATATGCTCGAAGATCCAAATATTCAGGATATTTTACATCCTAAACACAGACCAAGAAGATTCAAAAATTATCCTGAAATACTTCATGGAATAGCCTGAGAAAAACACTTCTAAAACACAGACTAGGATTATATGAATATATTTTTTGATTAATTTAAAAATACCTATTCTCATAGAAAAAATTAATAATTTAAGTTGCAGAGAACTGTTTTCTACAGAATTAGCTCTTTAAGAGTAAGGTATATTCTTATGATCACACAGGAACTTTACCATTATTAAAAAAAGAAAGAAGAAGCAATATTTGTTATTTCAACTTTTCTTAGACTACAGTTATTAGTCTATAGTTATTGCCTGCAAACGTTAACAACTTTTAAATGAGTATTCATCTTTGGGAGATCTCCCTTTCCAAGAAGATAAAGTTGCATTACAGCTGGAAATATACCTTGTTGATCTTTCCACCTGTAAAATTTGCAAATCTTTTCAGTGATATTGTGAGAACGTTGGAAGAACGATGTATTGTATACCTCTTTGACGCAGGAACCATCTTTTTACACCTTAAAAACAAGTACAAACAAATGTTCAACAGCATATTCTTCCCCCCCCCCCAAAGTCAAACAAGTTTTCATCTCTCACACATGCTTATGCTATTTGAATGATATTTACTTGCATAATATGTTTTTTCTTTTCATAAATCCATACACTGCATTTCAGGTTTGTTAATAGAGAGAAGATAGCAGGATATAAGAGGACAGCTCTACAGAACAAAGAATAAAGGATTTAGAACATTATCTTTTGATAGCCAAACAAGTGTCTGAACATCTATCTTTGTTATGCCAAAAAGGTAAGGCTTCCCAACAACTTGGCGCGAAGCAGGACCGGGAATCTCTCACTAGAGCCCATCTCCAGAATGTAAGGCAAGGTACCATTTCTTGTTATACCACAGTGGCTATTTTGAACACGTCCTGGATACATTGTTTCAGCTTTCTGCTGGAATGCAAATATTAAAAGTGGAACAAGAGAGTCTCGGTCCTCAAGACTAGAAACGGCAAATAATTTCCAAAATGGATCATATATCAACGTAAAAAGTGCAATGGAAGGAAACAGCCATTCTGCAGGAGGGAGACATTGGACACTAGTAAGTCTTTATGTACTGAAGTTGCCTGGAAAGACATTGAAACCATCTGCAGTCCTTTGAAACAAAATTGTCAATTGTAAGTTTGTTGCATTGAGCACTCAAAGGTAGGACCTACAGAGTAAGCCCTGAAATTCAACCACTCGCACAGAGAGAGACTGCAACATGTCAGTTTACGTCATCAAGAAAAATACCCTTGACTATTAATAAATAGCAAGAATTAAATAGTCTCTTTTCAAATTCTGATGTCAAAATACAAGGCAGAGAATTCCAAACTGATGGAGAATGCCCATGAACAAAAAAAAGAGACCCACCCAGAATAACAAAAAAAAAAACCCCAACCACACACAACAGTGTTTTATAAAATTCTATGAAACTTGTAATTAGATACAAAGTTTTGATGCAGTAATCTTTATTAGAAAAATTCATGGTAGAAAAGAAAAGGAAAATGTCAATTAGGAAAAACTTAAAGGTAATAGAATAGTTTACCAGCTATGAAAAAGATACTGTACATATGCTAAACCTTTCTTTTTAAACTCACAAAAAGACTGAAACTTCTGGTTTTATGTGTGACTAAACTGATCACACCCCACATTAATGAAGGATCATGCAATTCAGATGTGAAGTGCTCGCTTATTACAGTTATCTTTCTCTTCCTCAGCCATAATCTGTAAACTATGAGAATTCTTCATACATTACATGTTGCTTGCTAGGATCCACAGACTAAAATGAACCTGGGATTAAATTGTTGTAATAGCCTATTGGATGCTCTTTATTCAACATCTGCATTCAAATGTACTAATTAACCTACAGTTTTCCAACAACAAAAAGCAGGTATTGCATTTTTCATTTAGAAGGATCAGACAGAACCGAGCCTGGCAGTCTTTGCTTTTCTGAGTTTATGTTTGAGTAACAACTTGTTTTGCCAAAGTATCTTATACAAATGTTCAATGCTCCTACATACGTAGAAATATTTTACATATTGATCAGCGTATAGGACATCTTAACTCCATATGCTTTCACTAAGTATAGGTTAGGTTTAGGGTGGCTCATTTTGGACGACAGTAGTCCACAGGTTTTACAATTCAAGAACTGTGGCAGACATTGTCCAATGAGCCAGCAGAGGTTGCTAATGTTAATTATCACTGAGTCTGTTCACATTCACCGAGAGCCAATCTCACTTTGTTTCACACTGAACACTAGGACCTTCAGGAAGCTGATGTTGCCTCCCACCCCAAATCATTGTCCATAGCTCCATGCTTTGGCTCACCGCTACTTAGCGGACATGCCTTTTAACTTCTGGCCATATGAATATTTCAGTGTGCAACTTCACACTTAGGAAGGCTGACAAGCCCCAGCGTAGACAATACTAGGAATAAAAGTCTCATGTGACCTAATGGCCACAATTCTTATAATATATTTCCAAACATTCAAACAGAAACACAAAAATTACTCTCTTAGAAACAAATGTATTATTTTCCAAGCTTTGAATCATTTCAATGTATTAGTTGTATAAACAAAACTAAATGAAAGAACAACAGAGAGCTGTGTCTCATTATCTATCTTTCTAAACAAAGTCAAAAGATAACTTATGCTCTAAGTCATGCAATACATTAAACGCGTATCTTGTATTAAGATGTAATTAGTAATAATCTTACTTGCTACACTTATAGCTATTTTCACCGTCCAGTTGTTCCGGTTTCACAAATTGTTCTAGAGCTCTGGTGACAGATGTAACTGCCTGGATGAGTAAGAAAGTAGAGCACTAAGACACTGGAAATGCAAAATTTCAAACACTTACTAGTAGTTTACGAGAGAACCTTGCTAGTTCATACTTAAGTGACCTACTGTGAACCAGCAAACACTGTGAAGGAGGCAGCAGAAACAGAGTACGCTGAGCATTTACCTCATTTGAAAATGATTCTACTTCGAAATAAATAAATTTTGCAATACCATGGACAGCATCTGTGGTATGCTTTGGCATCAATAATGAGAACAATCAAACCCATCAGTCTAACAATAGATGTATATTGAAGTAGAATAATCAAGAAGTATGATAGTATCATTGTTTGTGTAGATTATTATTATTATTTTTCCAGCCTAAATCCAATGCAAACATGGATACCATTTACATGGCTTCCACAGAAGAACAAAGTCCAATCCACTCCCATCCACCACCAAGCTCTTTTTTTTAACAGTATACGTTTTTAAGTAAAATGAGTTTATTTTAGAAAGCTCTACAAGTCTTTACACATCTTGACTCATATCCACAAAACATCTTACCTTTATATCCAAAGTAATATCGAGGAATGGCTCATACGTATCCGAAACTGCTTTGCAGTTCAAGCACTTTACTGCAATCAAAATACAAAATGTTTAACAATATGGGAAGGAGACTAATTGTGCAAATTTAAATTATTAATACATATTACTTTAGTCAAACTACAAACTCCGTTACTACAGACAGACAAAAAGACACAGACCAGTTTGAAGGACAGCAAGATTTTTAAAGAGTACCTCGGGATCTTAGATATCCTCCAAATATTTGATAAATAAGTGTGGTGGCTTGAGAAGATCTGTCCAATCTGGAAATAAATTATAATCAGACCTCAGAAGATTTAAGGCACAGAGTTAACTCTTCAAAACAATTTTTTTTTTATGAAAACCAAGGACATAGATTTTAATTTATGATAGCAAATAAAGGAATAAGAGGGGCTAGAGAACATTTAAAAGTTAATTTGTTTATGCTTACTTGGTGCTTCCATTTAAGCAAGCTTTCTGCAATGCATCAACAGTGAAGCATAAGAATTCATGTGCATCCTCTTGACTGCCAAAATGGAAATGTTTTCCTATTCCTAATAAATAAAAGGGTTATTATATTTATCTCATATAAAATGAAAGAAAACTCGTATTTCTAAAATCTCTCTTCTTTAAAGTATCAAAATCATTTATATGCATCAAATAATTATTTGAAAAATTAAAAAATATCAAAAAATAAAACCATCTGAAATGACTTACTTTTAAGGCCATTGATAACAGATGTAGGTTTGATGGCATTATTAGAGCAACACAGGACCTGGTTAATGTGAGTTTCCATCGTGCACATCATACAGAAGCCTTCTTCATGACCTGAAGAGTGAAAGAAGAAAGCATCCCCGTCTAGTCAAATATACATTGCTACAAAAAACCTAAAAAAAAAAATAATCTTTAAGTTATAGGTACAATGTCCACTCTCCATGCTACATTCTCTTCTCCTAAGGTGTCAATATCCCAACAGTTTTGTGACACTTTATTACACAGAACTGTATAGAATAAAAATGTTGATTAATTCTGTATTAAAGTGCATTTTCTGATGAGAAATCCAAGTAACTATTGCAATGTCATTTTTTTTTGCAGGCTGACAGGAATGTGAACTCCAGACTGCAGAATATACGAGGAAACAATATTGACATTGATGATACAACACTAAGAGAGAATGTGTGTTATTTTCAGCACACTGCTGTTAGGTGAGCTACATGACACAGAGCTAAGAATCCTCTGGGAGAAAGGAAAGATTAAAGTAATGTATGTATTAGTATTTCTATCCTCCTTTTTTCAACAGGATTCTTAGCTGAAATCATTTTTATATATGGTAAGAAAACACAGTTAAACTTCTAGGAATAAATACTAAGATACCAGACTAGAAAGCATACAGGTGCCTTTGTAAAAATACACATATATGGATATGAAAAGAGGCTCCTAGGCTTAAGTAAATTCAAGTATAAAAATGAAATTCAGAGAACACAAATTCAAGGGTTTAAAAAATACAAAATTTTATTTAGAATAAAATCAGACTACATTTTAATACAGTCCCAAACAAATTTCTATTTGAGTTCATAAGAGATGAGCTCGTAGTGCTTTCTAGGGTGTTTTTTTTTTTAATGGGTCAACAGTGATCAAATCATTTATCACAGTATTAGTGCATTACAGTATCTAGGCTGTGAAGATTAAGCATCTACAAAGCCAACATCCTAAATTTTATCATCTTTCTACCAGCAGGAAACCCAAATGACAAATGTTCATCAAATACCTTACTTTACAATACACTTCATTATTTACATAAAGCAAGAAATTATCTTTTTTTTGAAGTTTTACCACGGTGCATTAAATGAACAAATGCACTTTATATGCTATTCTGAGCCTCCTGTTAATATAATCATAGAATCATTTAGGTTGGAAAAGACCTTTAAGATCATGTTCAAAGCCAGCTTCTACAGATAAAATAGGACAACTAAGTTTTTTTCACAGAATCACTGTTGTTCTTTCACCTTCAGAGCTGTCCAACAGATTTATAATAATGGTACAAAGTACTCACATGACTGGGTGTGTTCAAGAGAAAGCATGTAATTGGCGAGAGGAGGCGTGTAGGTCAAACATTGTAGAGTAGAATTAAGGAAACATGTGTTGCCGAGATTCTGCAGTCCAACTCCAACACTTTGTGTTTGTTGCCAATCCATACAAATTTTCTCAGGTGGAAAAAGAATTCTTTGTGGTGGGGCAATTCCATCATTAACAACTGCAAGAAAATTATATTTTGAGAGAGATGTATTGGCTGTGTTTGAAAAAGGATCTTTAAAAAGTAGCATTCTGCAGGAGCACCCAGAAGAACCAGCTATACTCCGAAACACAAAAACATATGACGCACAACTTTAACACTGCCACTCAAATTTGCTGGTCAACACACTGTTTTGGACAATAGTTTATTCACCTGTTTTAATTCTTCTAATGCAAGACAAACTACCACTCCGATTTTAGTAACTTTTGCCAGGTTTCTTTCCATCTATAGTCTTTAATCTGATTATTAATGCAATTATAGTTTTTCTCCTTATTGTAACTTAAACCACAAACTTACACTTGTAATTGTACGGTAATAAAGATAAGAACTAAGACAGAAAAATAAGCAAGTAACTATCACAGAAGGTAACCCTACAGATATCAGATCTCTTCCTGAGCAGTGTTATCATTCAGACTTGTGAATAATGGGAACCATGAATAGAAATGGTAAAATGTACTTTTCTCTGCATAACAGAAAAGACCTGGATAAGTCTGTGTATTATAAAAAGCTCCCCATAGTTGATTGGAAATAGATCAAAACTAAGTTACAAATAGATTGAAAATAGATAAAACTAAGTTTTGCAACACCAGTCGCTTCAGTTGCCTTAGGAGATTCACAAAATTGAAGTCTACCGCTGAAGTCTTTATTCATCGCAGTCCCATTTTATAGCACTGCAACAAATAAGAACGGCATTTTCTACTTCTGTTTTGGTTTGTTTTTAAGAAAAAGAGGAGAGGACAAGAGACATGCTTACCTAGATCTCTTTGGGCAAAAGGCTTAGATTTTTGAGATGATCTACAATAAACAGCACCTCCAGGTCCTTTGTCCACAGAGACTTTGTTTGGATCTTCTGCAGGTGGTACCCGGCCCAAATTTGCGGTGCGTGACGTCATTTTTTTAGTACGGGGTTTCTTAGATTTGTCAGACCGCCTTGATGATGATTTTTTAGATTTTGAAGATTTTGGCTTGTTAACTATGGTCATTGTTCATATCTGTAACAGAGGCAAAAGTTCTGGTTGATAGAAGAACATCAAGAAGCATTCCAGAAAGAAAAGAATAGCAGAAATCCTGTCACTTAGTCTCAAACAAATAACTTGAAGAACTAAGTAGCTGATAAGAATGATTTAAAAAAAAAGACCCAAACCAAAAACCCAACCCAAAACTAAACACACAAAGCAGAATGTTCCATCAAAACTGTATTTTTATTACTTTTAACTTCTGCAGAGCTGGTGACTGATGACATTTCTTACTTTCACAGGATTTTAATCCATTACAGTTATGAAGACTTTTTTTTTAAAAAAAAAAAAAAAAAAAAGGAGCTGTGAGCAGTGGCACATTCAAGCGCTGGCCTGTTGAGATCCAGGAGGAGCTGTTTGGCCCATCTTTTCACTCCCGGGAACCACACACCTCTGAAACACAGAGGATGGGATATAGCTCTGAGAAATCTTGGGAAAGGAGAGCAGGAAAACACCTGGGTTTCTTCTGCCCCTCCAAGAAATATTTGTTTGGATACAATTTTGGCAGCAGTACTTGTGGTATTTTGCACCTATCACATTTACAGCTCTTACTATCAATGGAAAAGTTGAACCAAAAAGCATCTTTTTCAGTTCTACTTATGTAAAGTTATACATTTTTCCCTGACAAAACAACAGAGGAATGTAAGCTATAAAAAGGAAATGCTGAATGTAAAAGAAAGCAAAACAAACCCTCAGCCCTCAAGGACAAAGGCAATAACTGATATTTAGTCCTTTTTAAAATGCTGATTAGGTTTCAAGATGATACCTTTTTAAATATGTGTAATTGTGTGTGCATAGTAAGCCACTGAATAATTTACATGATCAATTATCAATTTCTATATGTAAATTATTGCTACTATCTTACTATAGCACATTGAGCATTTTTAAGTTTAGGGAAACTATAAACTTAACTGAGGGTCTAAAGCATAAGCTTCTTTGTTATACTGAAATAACTCAAAGAACAAAGCATAAAGCAACTTCCGATTTTTGGCACAACTTGATTGCTATTGATAAAACTTAAGGTAGATTAAACAAAGCACAGTGAATTTATTGCTACTATCTTACTATAGCACATTGAGCATTTTTAAGTTTAGGGAAACTATAAACTTAACTGAGGGTCTAAAGCATAAGCTTCTTTGTTATACTGAAATAACTGAAAGAACAAAGCATAAAGCAACTTCCGATTTTTGGCACAACTTGATTGCTATTGATAAAACTTAAGGTAGATTAAACAAAGCACAGTGAATTAGAGAACTTCTAGTCCCACAAAAGACAAATTATGTGCAAAGCCTTTAATTAGACCTTTTTCCCCTTAAATTTTCAATTTAAAATCCACTCTATACACATTTTCCATTTCTGAGAAGTTAATACACAAAATTGGAAAATTCCCTCTCATTTTACTGAGAAATGAAGACATCTTTGTCCATTCGGAAGACCAAGATGACAGTTCTTGGGCTCAGTGATTTTCAGATAAGATCCAATCTTCAAATTGCAGATACTAGTGGCATCTCCTTTCTCTGATTGAAAGGGAAAGTGTTTCAACAACATATTTAAAACATATTTGCGGGACAAAAAACAAAATCAAGACTGCAGTGAAAGGCAAACAGAAGAATATTATCACAAAAAAGCTTGAGCGTTATATTGACCAACGAGGTAAGCCTTACATATTTTTTAATTTATTTTTGACAATTGAGTGATACATTAGCAGATATCAAACACTATACAACAGCAAATATCAACGCTAGTAAGAATAAGTCAGATCCACCACTTTTTCAAAATATGTCAACATAATTCTTAATTCGGACATAACAACTCTTTGACAAAGAAGTACAAAAACTATAAACACTGATCTTTTTTCTTCTCCAATTGTTCAACATACACACAGATTCTGTTCCTATACCACTGCCGAACATAAATTTACATCGTCATGTGTATTGAGTGTTATTTCCCTGTGCGGATGTCATAATAGACTTTTCCCAGTATGATACTGAAAAGTAAAACAGATAAAAACAGTTACTTTCCTCCCATTTGGAGTTTTGCGTCAGCGTTGTTTAGATTTTTTCAGCAGTGTCATTACAAAACACATCAGTTATGACTTGGATCTAAATATTTGGTCTCCACTTTGCATACAATAAATCACAGCTCAAGAAGATTTTATACAAGATCCCATTCACAAAACTGCGTTTAACCAGGGAGTAGCGATATGCTTTTACCTCACTACAAAACATTTTCAGCAGTGATTGTAAAAAAATAACATACATGCACAAAACTACCTAGGTAGGAATAAGGAGCAACAGAAAACTACTATAGCATAGATACAAAGGCCAGGTACGTTTACATCTCTACATTACAAACTACACCTCCACACTGCAACGCTACCGTAAGCAAAAAAAATAAAGGAAATGAAGAAACACCCCAAACACACACACGCCGTACTAAGTTCTACTTTCCTTAAAAAATAATCCAGCCACCAAGCCAGGAAACGCGAAACTAATTATCACTTTACCCTTAACTGCAATGCAATTATGTACGTGAAGCACAGAATAACGTTAGCCGTTCCTCGCCCCGGTGTCCCGGAGGCCAGCAGAGTTTCTCGGTGCAAGCGTTTCTCGTGGCGGCACCGAGTTTGGAGACCGCGGGCGCCCGGGAGCCGGAGCAGCGAGGGCAGCTCCGGTGCCCACCTCGGCTTCTCATCCCGGGCCACAGCGTGTTCAGACGGGCTCCGAACCACCCCTGCGTTCTTTAACGCCTCACGATATCCCTGTTTAAAATTAAACCGTCCGCCTCCGACGCCCTTTTACCACCAGTGCTAAGCTTGAAACACCAACTCGGTCACCCTCTGCTCCGCCTTTCTGAAGGGTTGTGGTTCCTGAAAACGTTTTGACACCGAAAGATAAAAGGCTGCTTTCGCGGACGGGCGCCGCACGCGCGCGAAAACCCAAAACACAAAAACAAACGCCGCCCCCGACGCGCAGGCGAGGGGGGACGGGAAACGGCTCTGAGCCTCCGCTTCACCTCGCCTCCCTC